GTGGGGCGGCTCCCGGAGCCCACCTTCTGGCATGGCAGCGTCAGCATCTTCCGCCAATTCATGCCCCAGACACCTTTGGGTGGGCGCGGCTTTGACCTGGACAGTGGCAGCAATGACATGGATGCGGGCCGATTTCGGCCACTGCGGAACCCTGAAGAACTGCACTAGCCCTGGCCTGGCCCGGGAGGGCCTTGGTGCAGGGAACCCAGCACCTCGCAGGGGTAGCAGCCCCTCCTTTGTGCCTAAGTCAGGGTGGTCTCACCAGGCAGAGCACGGGCTCTTGAGCACTGACTGAAGCCAGGATCCATTGCCTGGAGGATTTCTGTGCACTGGGAACCCAAGTCACGGCTGCTGGGGCCAAGGCCCGTCATGAATGCCCCTCCCATGGTCCAGGAAGAACCCTGCTGGCACACCTGTGGCTCCCAGAGGTCATCCCTACCCCGTGGCTTCCGACTCACCCGTGCGGCACACACACACTCCCTGCACCGCTTCTCCCACCCTGGGAGCACAGGGCCAGGGGGCTTCCTGTGAGGGTCTGGGAATGGCCCCTGCCTTCCTGCAGGCCCTATCTGGGCCTGTAGCATCAGAAACCAGGAGACGATGGTTGTAGTCGGGTCCCACACTCTGACTAGTGCTGGGTGTCCCAGTGGGCCAGCTCCCCAGATAGAGGGGGTCTGCTCCTCGCCCCTACTGGGATCTCACACCAGAGTGGAGGTGGGCTGCCTCCAGGTGAGACAGGGTCTGGGGACTGAGTCAGAGTAGGAGCCCAGAGGGGTCCAGAGCAGCACACTGAGCTGTTCCCAAGGATACAGTGGGACAGACGCCGGGTGTCCCTGCTCCAGTGGCCTGTGTGTCCTCCTCCAGGGCTTTGTCCTGGCTGGCGGAGGGGAGACTGGAGAAGTGGACTGAAGCCCCCAATTCGAGGTTGTAGCTCCTTGCTGGGAGGCCCTGGGCATCTGTTGCTGACACTGGCCGAATGGACAGCTGCAAAGCCCTAGCTCGCCCTGAGTCAGTGGTCCTTTTGCTTCTAAGGAAGCCCTGGGTACCGTGGCCTCGGCAGTTGGTTCCAAGTTTGAAATGCAGTTTGACCGTTAAAAGCAGTGGGAGGCGGGTATTCTAGAGACAAGGTCAGGTTTGTTTTGGGGTGGGGGTTGCAGTGTTGAGATCAGGGCTTTGCATGCTAGGCAAGTATTCTGCCACTGAGCCGTGGACCCAGTCCCTGGTCAGTTTTGTTTGGATTTTTTGGCCAGAGCTTCTGCAGGAATGGGGGCCGCCTGGACCCCTGAGGAGCTCCTGGGAAAACCACAGCTTGGGAAGGCCCCTTTTTTTGTTGGAAGTGATATGTTTCCAAGGACTGGGGGATTGAGCCCCTTCAGGTAGCCCCCGTGGCCTGTGCTTGGGTCTGTCACTCCCCTCCCTTTGTAGGAAGGGAATCAAGACTCTGCCTCAGGAGGTGGAGGGAAGCAAGGCTCCAGGGCTGCCTTTCCCTGGTGGCCTGGCTGTGCAGCAGGCTCCTGCCAGGAACAGCCTTGGCACCGTCTCTTAGCAAGTGGTACCGAAGACCATTTGCTGGCCAGGTGGCAGGGCTTCTGGGAAGTCCCTGTCTGGCCTGGCCTGCCTGTTCCCTTGTACGGTGTCACTGCTGCAGGTGCCCTCATGTTGGGTTAGAAAGCTGTGTTCTGGAATCCCCTGGCTGGAGTGGCCGCAGCTCAGAGCTCTTCCTGACCATGGGAAGCCATCACCAGTCATTACTGAGCACTTGCCAGGCAGGCAGCACACCCTGAAGCTCTATGCTGGCTTCGTGCCTTGGCCTCCTCTTCCCCCGCCAAGTAACCCCCTCACTGAGCTCCCCCCTCCTCCGCTCTAGAGCTGTCTCCCCGTGGCCCTCGCCTGGCTTCCCTGAGGCTGCTGAGGGGCCCAGGGGTTGTCCTTCCCATGTGAGGTGGCTTGTCTGTCAGCAGAGAAGGCCCTGAGTATGTACTCAGTGCCAGAGTGTGCCCAGTCCACTCTGCCTGGAGACACGGCCACTCCTGTCGCAAGTCATCTTCTGGGATGGAGCCTTCAAGGAAGAGCTCTGGACTCCTGCTCACTGCTGCTTCATGGTGGCTGGCTTACCCCCATTGTCTGGGGGCGCCTGTGCAGGAGAGAGGGGGCTTGGTCTGTGTCCCTCTCCTGCCTGGTCCAGAGATACCCAGGTGTCCACCATCAGGAGTGTGGGTTGAGAAAGACCAAGAGTGGTGAAGAGGAGCAGGACCCTCCCACCCGTGGACCCAGCTGGGGTCCAGCACCAGACCCTCTGTTCCTGCTTTCCCTTTGTCACGGTTCTGGGCTGGGTGGTCCCCACCAGAGGTCTCTACACAGACTTTGGGACAGAGGCTGGGACACCTGGCTATGGGGCTGTCCCCATGTGTTACGTGTATAGAACTTTTCTGTCTATAAGACATTAAGTTATAAAGACTAAAGTGACTAGTATTTAATGCTGATCTAGAACATATTCTATATTTATATGACTCAGAGACTCACAGTAAGGAACACCCTCCTTCCAGTCCTGCCCCAGGGGTGGGAACAAGTTGCTATTTATTTTTGTCTGTTCTCCAGGCTTATGAATGTTGAGAAACCTATCTAAGGTTTTAGGATGCCTTCAATACTTTTTGAAATAAACCTGTTTCCTAGGTCTGGTGTGTCATTGCCTTTATCCTGCTCTGGGGGACCTTTGGCCTGAAGCCAGCAGTGCACAGAACAGGAGCAGAGGCAAGAGTCCCAGTGCCAGGGGTCTTTACAGAGCTTTCCCGGTCCTTCCCACTTCAGTTCACAGGAGATCAAGCCAAAGAAAGGAAGGGGCCCGGATGCAGGGGGCAGGGGTGGCTGCATCTCTGATCTCCAGGACTGGCCACCTCCCGTTCCAAACCTCTTCAGCCCTCCTGGGTAGTGCAGAATGGCGGTTCCTCTCTGCAGGATAACTTGGCTTGGGAAGACAGAAGCCTTAAAATAGAGGACCTCACACATGTCAGGCCAGTGCTCCACCACTGAGCTCTATCCCCAGCCCTATTTATTTGTTTGTTTGCTTGCTTATTTATTATTTCCAGCCCTTTTTGAAACAGAATCTCACTAAATCGCCCAAGCTGGCCTCAAACTTGAAATCCTCCTGCCTCAGTTTCCCAAGTTGCTAGGATTACAGGTGTGCACCAACACACCCCTTTCCAGAACAGATGTGAAGCGGTTTATAACCTACATAGGAAACAGGCAGACCTGGAGTGTAATTACTACACTTGAATACTACCTTTATTACTTCTGAGGTCCCAACGGTCGAGGAATAAAAGGAAAGTGGGCCAAGTACAGTGGCACATGCCTGTGATCCCAGCTACTCAGGAGGCTGAGGCAGGAGAATCACAGGTTGAAGATCAACCTCAGCAATATATCAAGGCCATAAGAGGGCTGGGATGTAGGTCAGTGGTAAAGTGCCCCTGGATTCAATCCCAAGTACAAAAATGAAAATAAAGGTACCTGGGTCTTGAATCTAAAACATTTTTTAAAAATGTTTTTTAGCTGTTGATGTACCTTTTATTATATTCATTTATATGTGATACTGAAAATCAAACCCAGTGCCTAACACGTGACGCAAGTGCTCTACCACTGAGCCACAACCCCAACCCCATATTTTTTTGAAGCCTATTTTATGTTTATGTGGCACTGAGGATCAACCCCAGTGCCTCACATGTGCCAGGAAAGCGCTCTACTGCCGAGTTCTAACCCAGCACCTCATTTCCCTAGTCTCCGGCTCTAAGAGGATCGTGTTCCAGGAATCTTCCTGTGATGGGATTTCAGCAGTGCCCAGCTCTGGTCACTGGGGTCATGAGCATTTGAACCAGTGACCTCTGATTCGGACTATTACAGAATAATAGGTAGGGCAGTTTATAAAGGTGTCCACAGATTGTTTGACACCCATCCTGTAAGTGGCCAGAGAGTACATGTCCCCTCCTCTTCAGTCTTGCAGCAGACTGGTGACGGCCTCAAAAAAACAGAATGAACACAGGTGAAGCCATGTGACTTCCAGTGCTAGAGCATGAAGGACCCTGTGGCCTTGGCCTTTGGGATGTATGTTTTTGGCACCCAGCCACCAGGCTGTGTGATAGCCCAAGTGGCCAGTGGAGAGGACCCAGCCCATCTGCACCTCTGTGAGACATCTCGAAAGCAGGTCCCCTAGCCCCCAGGTACATTCTGCAGTGGTTTACTATCCAGTGAGCTCTCATTCGATCCTCTGTGAAGTATGTAGCGTGATACTAATCCCATTAAAAGATGGAGACGAAGCAGTAACTTGCCCAGGGTCACAGGGCTATAAAAAGGAGTTGGGAAGAAACTTAACACACCACAATCTATTTGAGCACCTGAGGGCTTGTCTTCCATGGCTCTCAGCCCCCCATGGCTGCAGAACCTGGCCCCTCTCCATTCAAGGCCTGGCCTCTTCTATAACCCAGGCCTCTTAGACCAAGCTAGGGCCCTCCTAAGGGACATGTCCCTCTGTTGGTATGCTGCCAGCCAGGTTGAGCCTGCTTAGCCAGGAGCCTGGCCTTCCTCAGGTCCCCAGGCAAGCTCGGATACTCCTGAATTGGCCCAGTATCTTGGCTCCAGCCAGTGAGGCCGTCATCATGGGCCACCACTCCACAGAAGTTTAGGAATGAATTCTACCTGATGTCACCCCTAAAACAGGAACACTACCAACTCTGGCCAATGCTACCAGCTCTAAAATCTGAAAGAACAGAGGCCAGGATAAAGAAAAAAAATAAATAAATAAAGGGCAGAAGACAGATGTGGGAAAAACCGAGTCCAAGGGTTTGGCACCCAAGGCTGCCTGCCCCCATGATGTCCTGTTCAGCTGAGGAGCTGAGGAAGCTGCTAAGTCCAGAGGACGGGACAGGGCACCAGCAGGGGCACAGGTGAAGAAAGCAGCATTGACTGTCTCCAGGGCATCAGGAAACAGACAGTTGGGCAGGCCAAAACAATCCAGTCCAAAGCCAAGTGGTTTATTGGCTGGGACCAAGCAGACAGGGTGAGCTACGTGTCACAGTCCTCTGGAACAGCAGCTGTGATGATGAGTGAGGGCTCCAGGACACCGGGGCCAGCAAAGCTCTCCTCTGCACACAGTCTCTGGCCAGGGAGCTGGGAGGCCAGGCTGCCCTGGGCCAGCGACTCCACGATGACCTCAGCCGAGCCCACTTCCAGCTCTGCAGGTGGCTGGAGGGCCACCACCACCATCTTCTCGTCCTCAATGACCAGGTTGCGGAGCTTGCGCTGCCGTGGGTTGTAGTTCTCCACCCGATCGTGGATTTCCATGTGCCTGCGCAGGTGGGCCTGCGGGGAGTGAGAGCTCAGGGATGGGGGCAGAGCCTGGGGGAGGGAGAGGTGACCCTGGGCGCCCCTGCCACCTACCTGCCGGGTGAACTTGTAGCCACATTCAGTGCACTCGAACTTCCTCACTCCCTTGTGCCGTCTGACGTGCACACGTAACTGTTCCACGGCTGCAGGAGTGACGGGGCCACAGGTATCAGGAGCCGGGGAAACATGGCAGAGATATGCCTGAGATTGCAGGCCAGGATCCCAGGGCCCAGGAGGAAACCCAGCAGGAGGCCCTGGGCAAGGGTCCCCCCACTACTTGGGGCCAGGCCCTGCCAGGCTCTACAACACCTCCCTGAGTTCACAACTGACCAGGCCCCTGGGGAGCCCCAGCCCCACTTGCACTGTCAGCAGCTCCACTCGCCCCTGTAGGCACTTGAAGACAGAAGATGTCTGCTGGCAGGGAGGCTCAGCAGCTGAGGAGCGTCGCTAGGCCTCTGCTGCCCCCCACCTCTATGGACACTCTCCCACTTGGGTCAGCAAGAAACAGATGGCCCAGCCTTGGGCACCCCCAAGTACCTTTGAAGGTCTTGCCACAGATCTGGCAGAAGTGGGGCCGGCCCTCCTGGTGGCGGCTGGCCACGTGCCTCAGGAGGGGCCCCTTCTCGGTGAAGCGCTGCTCACAGAACTCACAGCTGAAGGGCCTCTCACCTGTGTGAGTGCGGTTGTGCTTGTCCAGGCTGGCTGTGGGGACAAGGCAGGGGCTCAGCACTGGCCTTAGCCCCAAGACAAGGAGGTGATGGGCCTGCCTCACCTTGGGTGCGGAAGGTCTTGCCACACAGATGGCACTGGAAGGGCTTCTCGCCCGTGTGCGTGCGCAGGTGCATGTTGAGGTTGGCCTTCTGAGTGAAGGCGTGGCTGCAGAGCTCGCAGACATATGGCCGCTCATTCCTGTTTGGGTAGGGAGACAAGGCAAGGCCATCACAGAGGGCAGAGGCCCCCCTCACCCTGCTCCAGCTAGGATATGCTGAGCAGGAGGGCTTGGGTGGTACAGGAAAGGGACACCACCACTGTCCAACAGAAAGGAGTCTATGGAAGGGGCTGGGGGTGTAGCTCAGTTGGTAGAGTGCTTGTCTCGCAAGCCCAAGGCCCTGGGTTCAATCCCCAGCACCAAAAAAAAAGGAAAGAAAAGAAAGGAGTCTATGGAGCAGGGAGTCACAAGAAACTAAAAATTTGCCCCAAGAGATACAGTGCCTCGTCTTGGCCTGAAGCCCCTCCCCAGCTCCGGCACCTTAGCAAGCTCTTGCTTGTCCCACAGGTCCCCAACCCCAGAAAGACTGCAGGCACTGGACTCAGGGCAGAAGCACACACATCCCTGTGAATGTAAGCAAATGCTACCTTCCTGGCCCAGCTGCAGGCAGCAGGGCCAGACCCCAGGAGAAGATGGGCTGACCCACACCTGTGCTTGGCCTTGATATGCATCTGCAGTCCATTGCGGCTTGAGGCCCGGTGCCCGCACTCCTCGCACACAAATAGCTTCTCCCCACGGTGCTTGAAAGCCTCATGCAGCTGCAGCTCTGTCCGTGACAGGAAGCACTTGGCACAGGTAGGACACTGTGGGGTAAGGGGGACAGCAGAGCGCCCAGGACCAGGTGAGAACAGCATGGGGCTGCCTAGGATCCCCACAGGCCCCCCAACTTTGTATGGCCACAGCTGCCATGCTTCTGCTCATCCCACCTCAGAGAATGCTGGGCCCAGCCCGGTCTTGACACTTACTGCATGGGGCTTGGGGGCTCCGTGCAGCTTGATCATGTGGCTCTGCAAGTCCTTCTTCTGCATGAACTGCTGGGAGCAGGAGGAACACTGGAAAACAGGCCCACAGTCAACTCCAGGGCAGCCTGCACCAAGGGAACCCTGGCCATTGGGTAGGATGATATGGACAGGGCCCAGTCCAAGATCAAGGAGGGTCCCTGATCTGGCGTGAAAACGGCTTGAGGGGAAGGAAGCTGTCATGAGCTGCCCATGCCATGCCCCCTATGGAAAGAGACAGGCCCAAAAAGACCCTGGAGGTGAGACTGTGGCCAGGGGCACCACCCACAGATGGAGGTCAGTGGATGGGGAGAGAAGGTAGGCTTCTGAACCCATGTCAAGGGGTAGGCCTCTGGGAGGATAAGGGCACCAGGCAAAGGCTCAGCAGGAAGGATCTTGGGGCCAGCACCCACCCCACCCAGGCCCTCAGCTCTGGGAACAGACTGAGCCTGACCTTGTAAGGCATCTCCCCAGTGTGGGACACCATGTGCACCCGCAGCTCCATCCTCCGGCGAAAGGTCTCCTGGCACACGGAGCATGTGAAGACCTGGCAGTGTGAGGGGCAAGCAGGGCCAGCATCAGGGGGAGCCTCTGCCTGTGACAGCAGCCTCTGCTGGGGCTTCCACTTGCTGCTGGGAAGAGTCTGCCTGGGGCGGGGGATGCTAGGGTGGGAGAGGGCAACATGTAACCCACCTGCCCTGACCATCACTGGGCACTGCAAACTACCATGTGCTAAGAAAGGCTTGCCCACCTCAGGCCCAGACAGGCTGGGTGCAGGGACCAAACGACTTCACCCACAGTCCCTGGCCTCAGCTGCAACCAACAGGCCTCTGGGAGGATAAGGGTAGCAGTTAACCAGACCCCACCCACAGGGGACAACTGTGGGATGGTGGGCAAGGTGGCCGGAAGGGCCTTCCCAGGAGCCATTCCTTCTCCAAAACTGAGGGTAGAGCTGGGCCAGGGGCCTCAGCAGGTAAACCCAAAATGTCCTTTCAGGGGTTGTCCCTCCTTCCCTGGAGGCCTATATTCCACTTGTACCAGAGTGTGGACCTGACGACATCCAAGGGCCCTGCAGCTATTTTTAGAGTCATCATCAGAGATGGTCTCCTATTTGGGCCCTTCCCAGATAGCACCAAGACATGGGCCAGCGTGCCCCTGCCCACAAGTACCTGGGTCAGCTCCCAAGTACCTGTTCTGAGCGGTTCATGCAATTCCGGGCTTCATGCTCCAAGAGGTTCTCCTTCCGAAAGTAACACTTCCCACATTTGGGACACTCAAAGGGTTTCTCCCCAGTGTGTTTCCTGCCAGGAGAAGCCACAGGGGTGTGGGGGCTGAGACGGTTTCCTAGCTCTCCCTCACCGGAGGCCCTCTTTGACCACCACTGATGAGAGCTGCACAGCAGAGATGAAGATGTGTCCTGGGACTGGCCATGGCTCACCACATGACCTGTGAGACCCCAGCTGGTGAACACGCAGAGAACAAGCCCCCAAAACCCCTTCCAGCACAGAGGCTCTCAGGAGAAGGCACCCCAGGCCATAAGCCCACACAGCTGTGTGCTTGAGGTCACAGCTGGGAACCAGCCTGAGCCCCACCTCTGCCAGCCTCCCTACGTGGTCCCACAGAGGCTGACGGCTAGCAGTCTTCTTTCTGAGGCAGTAGTATCCCTGGGTTCTGACTACCTGGAGGAATACTTGTCTTCCCAGAGCCTCTGTGGGCTCCATCTTCAAAACTGTGGCCAAAATCGGACCATGCACCTCGCTGCTACCACACAGTCCAACGGCAGATCTGAGCCCCGCATGAGCTAACACACATCCTCCCCTCCACACCATCCTCCCAGGCAAGTTTAAATTCAGAAGCCAGAGGAACCCTTTTAAGACAAGTAGCCTCGGGGCTGGGGATGTGGCTCAAGAGGTAGCGCGCTTGCCTGCAATGCATGCAGCCCGGGTTCGATCCTCAGCACCACCTATAAACAAAGATGTTGTGTCCGCCAAAAACTAAAAAATAAATATTTAAAAAATTCTCTCTCTCTCTCTCTCTTAAAAAAAAAAAAAAAAAAGACAAGTGGCCTGGGGCCGGGATTGTGGCTCAGCGGTAGAGCACTCCCCTAGCAGGGGCGGGACCTGGGTTCGATTCTCAGCACCACTAAAAATAAAGGCATTGTGTTGTGTCCATCTACACCTAAAAAATAGATATTAAAAAAAAAAAAGACAAGTGGCCTGGGGCTGGGATTGTGGCTCAGCGGTAGAGCACTCCCCTAGCAGGGGCGGGATCTGGGTTCCATTCTCAGCACCACTAAAAATAAAGGCATTGTGTTGTGTCCATCTACACCTAAAAAATAAATATTAAAAAAAAAAAAGACAAGTGGCCTTAGTAGCCCTCCATGAGCTGGTGTGCCCCGTACCTTGTTAGCCTGGCTGTGATGTCTCCCACTCAGCCCCGAGAAAGGCCTTCGCCCTTCACCCCTTCCCAACACCTCAACCTGCCATTCTCACTCCTAGCCAAGAGCTTCTCACAGGTTCCTGTGCCTGCCCAAATGCTATTCCCACGGATGGCTTCCTTAGCTGCTTTAAATCTTTGCTCTTTAAATCCTTCCCTGTAAGTCACCCAGACCATGGCTATTTAAGACAGCAACTGTCCCCACCCTGACCCCAGCCCCTGGACCCACTGTCACACTACACATTTACTCATTAGGTTTTACGCTTTCATCTGCACTGTCCTACAAGAAGGTAAGCCCTCAATAATGACCTCTGTTTAGTCCACTGGTGTATCCTGAGTGCTCGTAAGTCTTGTCAGCTATCTGGCAATTTGGTTTTTTGGGGGGGCAGTGCCGGGGATTGAACCCAGGGCCTTGTGCTAGGCAGGTGCTCCACCGGTGAGCTACATGCCAGCCCTGTCTGTCAGTCTGTGGAATGAACTAATGAACACTGACCGAAGAGCCCATGGGCTACCTCACAACCCGCCAGAGGCCAATTCTCTCATCCCCTGCCACAGTATCAGCTGTCCTCAGGCCCTGCTGCAGTGGCCTCCTGAAAGCACTGTTCCCCTCCCAGCTCTCAGGGCCAACCAGCAACATACAGCCCGAGATAAAGAGGAATGGAGACTGTTCTGCACTGGAATCTTTCAGTAGCAGACAGCCTAAGTGTCTGGGCAGGACACACAGGCCCAGAGTTCCCCACATACTGGGATTACCCAAAGGCTCCACTAGTGGTAACCACCCTGAGCACAGGGGTAGCAAAAGGTCTCAACCCCAGCTCCAGGATCACCGCTGGCTTCCCAGAGTATCAGACTGAGAACAGTTATGTGACACAACCTGGCTTGCTCCAAAAGCGCACTGTGATGTCTTGGGCTGGAGAGTGGCAGGAATGGAAAGCCTGTCACCTACTTGCTGTCCCCAGAGGCTTTGCAGGCGCTCCAGAGCAGCGCTGTGCAAGAGGACTCTCTAGGACAGTGGAATGTCTGCGCTGTCTGCTTAGCGGCCAGGAGCCACACGGCTACCAAGCACTTGAGATGGGGGTAGTGTGTCTGAGAAACTGAATTAACTAATTTTAAATTAAAATGGATTCACAGGGGCTGGGGTTGTGGCTCAGTGGTAGAGTGCTTGCCTAGCACATGTGAGGCACTGGGTTCGATTCTCAGCACTACACAAAATAAGTAAATAAAATAAAGATATGTGTCCATCTACAACTTATTAAAAATAAAACAAAAACAAAAATGGACCAGGGGACTGCTGGTTACCTTATTGGACACTCCAGCTTTAGACAAATGGTCTTTTATGCTCTACTGACACCTCAAAGCTAATGTCCCCAGAAATGGAAATAGCACCAATCCTCAAGATGAGCACCTAGCCCAAAGCCCACACTGCCAGGCTTTAGAAATTGCTAAGGTCAGGCCCTAGTTTCAGCTTAGAGTCCACAGGATTTTCCATTCCCCACAGCAGAAGCCAGGAGGAGGTCAAAGTCCACAGTTGGCACAACCTGTTGACAAGGTGTCTACTAATCCATCTCTAACCAAAAGACACACAGTAGAAGGGGGAGGAAAATCTGACCCAAACCAGGTTCCCACACCCTGATAAACAGAGGTATGCCCACACCAGGCACTATGTTAGTCTGAGCTAAAGCCCCCAGCCCCTACAAAGCCCACAAGTGGGAAGTACAGGACCCCTCCCCCAACATAGGAATGGCAGACAGGAAAAAAAAAGTAGAAAAACAATGTTTACCTGTTGTGCACTTTTAGATAATATTTGCTGAGGAACTTTTTATGACATGTGGGGCATTCAACCGGCACCGCTGTACCTTTTCTGTTCTCAGCGGGCTCGGCTGCTAGGGAACCTGTACCCAGAGCTGGCTCTGCAGCACAGGGCTTTCTGATTATGTTTGACTTCCTCCTGGTCAGCACAGTCTCAGGCTCAGAAACGTAATCGCCATCCCCGTCGTCCTCAACTTGAACCACCACTTCCCACTAGAGTAGAAGAGGCAGCAGGAGGGGGTGGGGTCACCAAATTAATCAGCAGGGGTTGTGGGGACCCAGCGTTAGTTCCATCCCAAACCCCAACCCAGATGAGTCCTTTCATCAGGGATTGGTCCCTTCAGGAGCCCAGGGCAGACATCTGAATCTTGGATATGGGGAGAAGTGACTGTTTCTATAAGACACTGGAAGCCTGGCCAGATTTCACTACTTGAGGGAAACATCTATAACCCTGATGCTGCCCACTCCACCCCCAAAGAAGTTGGCAATCGTAGACAGCTGTAACTCACAGAATGGTCAGCTGAGGTCACTGGCTTCCTATGTTCAGAGAAAGCCTGTTCCACTACAACAGAGATTCTACTTTGGGGTCCAGAGCACCCCAGAACTGTCCATCTTTTCCCCAACTTTTGCCTCCCTGGTTCCAGCACCCTGGGCACAGTACCTCATTACACCCGCCCTGCAGCTGGGCACCTTCAGCCTCAAAGGGCCTTGGGGGCACTTTGCAGTCCTCAGACTCTTTGTCATCTGAGGGACAAGGCTTCAGAGCCTGCTTGAGTTTTCCAGCAAGGAAGGAGGGGCTCTCACTCTGAATAGGGGAGCTGAACTGGGACCTCTGGGGGCTGCGACTGCCTCTAGGCTCCTGATCCCTGGGGACTAGGCCAAGAGTCCTTGTAATCTCCTCTTCCTCCAAGTCTGTTGGCTCCTTAAAGTGGCTGTTCACATCCTGAGGGGCAGGTTTCCCCAACCCACTCTGGCCACCTGATGCCTGTCCCACTGAAGTTTTGGGCTGGAAGCTCTGGCACAGCTCCACAGCCTCTGGTACTCGCAACTCCCTGGCTGCCAGGAGCACTTGATCCCGGTTCCCTGAGGTGAGGGCGAGGTGACCAGTGTAGAAAAAGTCCAACAGGAGGCCAAAGATCCCAGAGAAGCCAGCAGGGAGGACAACACTGCCCCCTGGGCCATCCCCATAGAGGCTCTGGAAGAAGTGGCTGCAACAGGCGAGGACACTCCAATGTGCCTTGAACACCAAGCCCCCCACGTCTAGGGTGGCATCGCAGTACTGGCCCTTCTCCCGCTGCTTGTTGAGCTCCTGCAGAACCCTCACACTGTGCTGAACGAAGGAGCCGTCCATGGTCTGAAGGAGAAGAAGGCGGAAGTGACACCCTGGCCAGCCCAACCGAGAATAAGAGAAAGCCCCTCGTTTTGACAAGATCGAAAAGGGAGGATGGACGCTACTCACGCACACTAATCAGGAAAAGGGCCGAGGTCAAGGTTAAAGGGTGCACCGCGGAGCACAGGAAGGGACTGACAGCTGGGGGCGGGGGGAGCGGGGGTCATACTGGATTGGCCAGAGGATGGTGCGGGCAGGGCATGGCGGGGACAGGACAGGGTCGTGGAGTGGTGCGGCTGGGAATAACGAAGTTTGAGGGAAGGGGGCGGCAGACGAGTGCGAACAGATCGGCGGGGCTCAGCCAGAGGACCCCGAGCCGGGGAGGGCGGCGGCCGCGCACAGGTGAGCGGAGCTCACGCCGCACCCGCAGGTCGCTAGCGCGGGCGAAAGGCGGCCGCGGCCACACTACCGTCGGCGGCTAAGGCGGCCCGCAGTCCCCCTCCCGTGCCCCGTGCCCTCCTCACCCGGACCGGTCCTCCCTGCGCCCGCTGCACCGGCCCCACTTCCGTCTCTTCCCTTCCACAGCCCACGGACCAACTGCCCCGGCCCGACGTGCCCTGCCCACCGAGCGCAGACGCCGCCGACGCCGCGCCGGATGTGACGTCAGGGCGCGACGGCCCGGGGGGAAGACTCCGAGATGTAGGGTTCTCAGCTCGGCCCTGGGGGCGGGGCCTCTGAGAACCGCCAATGGACGTAGAGGGCGTGGCCGAGCCAAGTTTTCCAGCGACGGGCCCACCTTCCGGAGTTGCTTGGCAACGCCACGCTTGGCCGGGGCTGCTAGGCGCTCAGACTCGGACCAGCGAGGCCCCACCCTCTCCAGACAGCTTGCGCCAAGGGGACGTAAACACGCATTTCACCTCTTTATTGGCAGCCCCCGGAGCCTGGGGTCTGTTCACCCGTGCGGTGACACATCGCATGCCAAGATTGAGACGCCCAAAGATCTCCCGGACACTGCAGGCCCTCCACCCAGCTTGACCAACTTCAGCTTTCAGGGCAGGATAGATTGACAGCCCACCCCGCCCCGCCCCAGCTGGCTTTGCCTGACCCGCTGCTCAGGAGGGGCTGCAACGCCTAGTATAGTCCTGGATGGAGGCCTGAAAGTGCTCTGTGTTATTGAGGTCTGGGCGAAAGAGGATCACGTAGCACTTGGGGAGGAAGTAACCACTGAATCCGCTGCTCAGGCAGGTCAGAAAGGCCAGCACATTGACCACGAGCAGGTACTTGCCCTGGTAGACGCTGGCCACGGTGAAAAAAGTAATCCAGGATACAAAGTTAAGGAGTTGGCTGAAGGTGACACATTTGGCCTCGTTGTAGTTTTCTGGCAAGTCCTTGCCCAGATAGCTGCAGGCAAAAGCACTGACCGAGAGGAGGCCATTATAGGTGAAAGCCAGCAGGAAGCCCAGTGAGTTGCTCTCTGTGCACTCAAGCACCACCAGCTGAGGAAAGCGTTGATATTCCCTTGTGGGCAGTGGTGTCCACACTACAAGCCAGATTAGACAGATGAGCAGCTGGGCCATTGAGCTGATCATCACAAACAGGCCAGCACCATGACATTGGACCCAAGTACGGTAGAACCTGGGCACCTTGGTGGAAAACTTGAAGATAATAATCAGTTGGAAGGAGCGAACTGTCAGGCAGGATAGGAAGATGGCAAACCCCAGGGAAAAGAGTGCCTGGCGCAGCAAGCACGCAGGCAGCGTGGGTTCCCCAAAGAAGCCATAGACGCTGCAGCTACCTCCTGCCAGGGAGCCCAGCATGAGGAAGCATAGCCTACCTCCAGCCGACCTCACCACAGGGGTATCTAGGTGCCAGGCAAACAGACCAGCAGTCCCAACCAGCAGCAGCAGCAGCAATGTATTAGCTGCTAGCAGCACCCAAGAGATGGGTTCCTGCCAAGTCAAAACCACCACTGTGCGTGGGAAGCAGGTCTGGCTTCCCTCAGGTGCCCACTCTTCTTTCCCACAAAGCTGGCATCCGTAGAGGTCTGAAAGGGAAAACAAAGGTGGTTCCTGAGAGCCAGTTGAACAAAGTAGGATTGGGGAAAGGAGGCTTGCAGGTCCGCTAGATGCTGCGAGACCTGTATCACAGCAGCTTCCTCCGGAAAGCATATTGAAGCGGGCAGTGTCAGGAAAGCCTAGAGTGCAGCTGGAGGCCAAGTGTTTCCTCAAAGTGTCTGTGTTAATTACATACTCTTGAGAAACATGGATAAGTTCTATGTGGCTCATGATCCAAAAAGGGGTTTGAAAACCCAGAGGGCCTTATAGTGGTCGCTCTGCCCCCATGCCAGTGAGGCTGAGCTCCAGTACGAGCAGCCAGCCCCAAAGGAAGGATGTGGTCATCTCTTTCCAGCACTTCCACTAGCCAAATCCACTTCCTAGGCTTCTGCTCTGTGATTTCTGAGTCCTGACTCTCTATGGACAGAAGGCATAGTGTCCCATCCCCACATCACCACAGAGAAGTAAAAGCGAAGAATGTGGCCCCTAGTGTTCAGCTCTGGGCTGAGCCTTTAGCTACATAAGTTGCTCTCTGGCCTCCACTTTGTGTCACTGGGTGGTATACTCTCCTATGGCAGACATTCTACCAGGTGTCTAGGAGCTGGCTGTGTTCAGCATGGGCAACAGAAGGGACTTTCCACAAATAGGATGGGAGAGTACAAAGAAAACAGTAGCTACATCCGGTGGAATGAAGAGGTTGAACTCAGGATAAGATGCCTCTGCAGATGTGACATGAGCTCTCTGATAGAGGACAAACCATGGTCTAGAGATTTCCTTCTGTTGTTTCTGTCTGCTTGATCAGAATTCAATCTGGAGGCAGGTGTCTGTCAACCTGCACCTAACTGGCAGCCCATGACTGTCCTGGGGCTGAGTGTACACACGGGGCCTGGGAGAGGTTCTTTACCTGCTGGACAGCCCCTTGGAGTGCTGATCACTGGCCCACTCACTTTGTTCACTCACCACTCTTGTTGAGGAAGGTCCCAGCCTCACAGGGCACACACTCAAAGCAACAGTGGTGGAAACCCAAGACCACCCGATGGTGCCCTTCAACACAGTCTCTGGTACACACAGATGCGGGAACCTGTAAGAAGCCACAGGTGTCCTGTAGCCACACGGAGGGGCCCAAGTCAAAGGACAGCTTACTTGTGAGACAGAGGCAGAATCTCCATGCCTGTGCCTTTGGAGATCACTCCCAGGCAGAGCCCCTGGTGGTGTAAACCTACGGCATCCCAGTGAGCATCTATCTATTAGCACATGAAGCCAGCATCCCTGGCAGGGCTGGGTAGAATGATGGCAGTCTGATACCTGGGGTCCGCTTCCTGCCCTGGGTAAGTGCCACTTTCAAGCTCCTGGCCCCCATGAAGCAGTTACCTGGTGAGCCACCACATCCCCATTACCTGATTGTTCTTTCCATGCCACTGGATATTGGTCTTATTTATGTCCAGCCGAACTGGAGACCATGTGAAGGAGCCAATGACTCTGAAGGTCCACTTGGACCCAATCCAATCCCAAGCAATGATGTTATAGCCGCTGAGAGGATCCCCATTGTCATCAAATGTCACAGTGTCCTCATGTAAAAGGAAATTCACCTTATAGATCTGCTCCAAAAGCTAAAACAGAGATTGTAAAGCTATGGCAGACCACGTAGACACAGACTGCCAGAAGCAAGTGCCAGGGGTCTCTTGGGCTCCCAACCCGGTGATTTTACCCCTGGAACACCTGTTGTCCCTTTCTCGGAGCCCTTCCTACCAGCCCTCCCAGAGAAGGCCTCCAGCAAAGGATTCCTTTGCAGAGATTTTTTTTTTTTAGCACCTTGCAGAAGGCAAGGTTCAGAGAGGAGAGGATTTGTCTAAGGGAACACCATCCCTCAAATCACTGTCTTTTGGGGTGACCAAGAGTGCCTACTCTGTTTGTCTCAGGATTGGCTCTTCTCCCCGATACCGGGGGCCTGGGGCTGGGCTCTTACCTGCCAGGGGTAGACTTGGCCCCTGGAACAGGTTCCAGAGGCACAACCTAGGAGCTGGTGGAGGCCGTGGGCTGCAGCATACACTGCCCGGTACACGTTGTAGGCAGAACTCATGGAGAAGGCCCCAAGCTTGGGCATCGTGTATTCTGTGAAAGTTTGGCACTCTCTGCAGAGCTGATTTGTGCTGCACCAGGAGCCCTTAGAACAGGACCTGGGGGCTCCCTTGTCAGCTCGGGCATAGGCCTCCTCAAACTCCTTCAAGCCAGGGATAAGCCTCTGCTGTATGGCCACGCCCAGCACTGTCCCAATGCCCTGGATCCCAGGCACGTTGGTGATATGTGTGGAGATGGCCCAGTCTTCTGAGGCGATCCACACCTTTCCAGTCAGTTTGGCCAGCACCACGGACTTGAAGAACACCCTGGCTAGCTGCCGGCTGGAGAAAACCACCACCACGGTTGTCCTGGCTAGGGCCAGGTGGCGCATCATGCTCCACATCTCCTTGTCGCCCTCTTGGGCAGAGGAAGACATGATGCCTTTGGAGGCAATGCAGATGCCCCGCTTTGTGGCCAGGTCCTCCAGTGCCTGTACTCCCCCCTGCCCGTAGTCACCGTAGCTGCCAACCAGAGAGATCCAGACCCACCCGAACTTCTGTAGCAGCAGCACTATAATCTCCACTTGGTACTTGTCACTGGGGATGGTACGCAGAAAAGAGGGGTACTGCCACTTCGAGCTGAGCACCGTGCTGCTGGCCTCATAGCTGATCTGTGGGGGTCCCATTCAGTGAGATCAGCAGCGACCTCAACTGAGGTCCCCCAGTGCCAGCCCTGTGCCGGGTGTGGGGACATGAAGAGGAAGGAGAAGAGCAGTGCCATGCTTGACCCATGAGTCAGAGAACCCATTGTGGAGGTTCCATTGGGAAGTGGGGTGCTGGGGAGCAGTGGAATCTGCCTGGAGGGCCAGCTGGAGGAGCCCTGCATCCCAAGCACAGGGAACGAACCCTGCCTACAGGGAGGGGAATAGTGTGGTGTGGCTGGACATCAACAAGGGCTTCCGCCTGGCCAGGGGTCCTCTTCATGAGTGAGGCAGGGCTGGAGGCCTTCACTTTTTTTTTTTTTTTTTAATTTTTCATTAGGGATTGAATCTAGGGGCACTCGACCACTGAGCCACATCCCCAGCCTTATTTTGTATTTTATTTAGAGACAGGGCCTCACTGAGTTGCTTAGTGCCTCAACGCTACTAAGGCTGGCTTTGAACTCACAATCCTCCTGTCTCAGCCTCCCGAGCTGCTGGGATTACAGGCATGTGACACTGCACCTGGCTAGAGGCCTTCACTCTTGATCTGAGGCCTTGGTCTTCATTCTCTAGGCCATGGGGAGACCCTGAGAGTGTCTGAGGTAAACAAATCTAATTCCAGTGAGAAAAGTGTTAGAAAAGCCTCAAGACCAGGTGAGGAGTCGTCATGGTGTGAATGAAGGCTGGGGCAGTGCAGAGTGGGGGCTCAAAGCCAGGCTTAGCATCTTAGTGAGGCACTTAGCAACCTGGTAAAATAAAATATAAAAAAGGGCTGGGGATGTGGCTCAGTGGTTAAGCACCTCTGGATTCTATCCCTCGTACCAAAAAAAAAAAAAAAGTCTCTTGTGAGGAGAGAGGTGCATTCCACATGGAACCCGTCAGTGCATAAGTGGCAGAGTCTGTGGGCCATGGATACTCACAAGTCAGAACACAGGGGACTGAGAGGTGCTCGTTGGCTTTGGAAATCTAGAAGGTGCCCTCCCCAATGGCAAGAACAAGTGTGGTGGGGCAGAATTCTGGGCCACAGGCAGAACAGCAAATGAGAGGGCGGAGCAAGTGAGCAGCAAATGAGAGGGCGGAGCAAGTGAGCAGCGAATGAGAGGGCGGAGCAAGTGAGCAGCAAATGAGAGGGCGGAGCAAGTGAGCAGCGAATGAGAGGGCGGAGCAAGTGAGCAGCGAATGAGAGGGCGGAGCAAGTGAGCAGCGAATGAGAGGGCCGAGCAAGTGAGCAGCGAATGAGAGGGCGGAGCAAGTGAGCAGCGAATGAGAGGGCGGAGCAAGTGAGCAGCGAATGAGAGGGCCGAGCAAGTGAGCAGCGAATGAGAGGGCGGAGCAAGTGAGCAGCGAATGAGAGGGCCGAGCAAGTGAGCAGCGAATGAGAGGGCCGAGCAAGTGAGCAGCGAATGAGAGGGCCGAGCAAGTGAGCAGCACTCTGGGCCTGAGTTCTAGTGGGAAGGAACAGGAAGAGCCTGGAAGGGCAAAGGGAGCCCCACATGCCTACAGCCCAGGGTGGGAGACTGATGGGCGCAAGCAGGAGTTGGTGCCAACAAGCGGAGGAGCACCCCACCTCTGAGCCAGGAGGAGGAGAGGCCAGGAGCCAGGAGGATGTGAAGGTTATGCACAGGAAGGAAAGGTTTTCAGCTGTCACTGAAGGAGATGGAGCCTTTGGATGGAGAGAGGGCAGTGGGGGGGGGAGGGGGGGGCAAGAGGGAGCAGTCAAAATGGCAGTGGTTCCCAAGGGGAATGGGTTTCAAGAGGGCCAAGGCAGGGGATCTGGAAGCATCCCCTGGAGAGGAAGGAAGGGGGTTCTGGGGCAGGTGGGGACCTCTGCAGTGTGACTAAAGAACAGGGACCAGCCCCAGATCCCCAAGGGCTGCACTAGCCTTAGAGGGCGCAGCGACTCCCACCCACTTGTCCTAGCTCAGGTTGGATTTGCCAAACCACTGAGGACCTTGCTTACCAGGGGCACCAGGAAGGGACTCAGCATGGCGGCAGTGGTGACTGCGTTGTTGGTGTTGTCGGGCCCGATGATTGCCATCACCTTGGGGGAGTAGTGGGAAAGGTTTTCTTGGATCTCCAGGTGGTATGTCCCCGGCAGGCAGAGCATGTTCAATGTGGCATAAAAGTTGGCTGACTCCGAGCACACATCATACAGCTCATACCCCAGGGTGACATTGGGCAGCAGGGCTGTGGAGTTGTTTATCTCCTCAATACCAAACCTCATGGCCTGGAAGAGGTGGTAGCCATGGCCATTGAAGCTATCAGGCCTGCAGGGAAAGCAGAGTGAGAGTTGAAAAGGTCAAGGTCCCTCTAAGACCCACCAGCCTCCTAGCGTCCCAGGCTTGTGGGGTAGAAAACAACTCTGAGCCGGGAGGCTGAGGCAGGAGGATCATGAGTTCAAAGCCAGCCTCAGCAAAAAAGTGAGGTACTAAGCAGCTCAGTGAGACCCTGTCTCTAAATAAAATACAAAATAGGACTGGGGATGTGGCTCAGTGGTTGAGCGTCCCTGAGTTCAATCTCTAGTACAAAAAGAAAGAAAGAAAACCTTTGAGGTCATCTGCCCAGGCCTGTACTGATATAACTTCAGCATGGGCCCAGCAGCACACACAGTTCAGGATGTGTTGGCAGGCCTGAGGAGAGGCAGGGCCGAACTTACAGAATGTGGCCTGCCCCACCAGGCCCAGAGTCCTGCAGCAGAGCAACCTGCTGTATTAGAGGTTCACTTTAAGGAACTTCTCTCATGATCATGGGGGATGGTGAGCCAGAAATTTGTAGGGTAAGACACCAGGTGGGATATTCTGGCAAGAGCTGATAATGTAATCTTGCGTTCAAAGGCAGAATTCCCTTCTATGCCAGGGGCTGGGGATATAGCCAAGACTCAGTCTCATAAGGTCTTCGACTGATTAAACGAGGTCCACCTACGGTTTGGAGGGTCGTCTGTCTCTTTTTATTTTCTTTTCCATAGTGCGGATGGAACCCAGGGCCTTGCCCATGCTAGGCAAGTGCTCTACCTCTGAGCTTCATCTCTCTCTCCTCCTTATTTTAAATTTTATTTTGAGATAAGGTCTTGCTAAATTGAATTTACAACCCCTACCTCAGTCTCCCAAGTAGCTGGGATTACAGGCATGTACTGAGTACACCATTCCTGGCTGTACTCAGTCAGTTGATTTAAAAGTTAATCACATCCAAAAAATATTCACAGCAACACCTGAACTAGTACAAGTTCAATGTGGCATAAAAGTTGGCTGACTCTGAGCACACATCAGACAGCTCATACCCCAGGTTGACATTGGGCAGCAGGGCTGGACAAACAGACATGTAAAAATAACCACCACAGGGGCTGGGGTTATGGCTCAGTGGTGGAGCGCTTGCTTTGTACATGTGAGGCACTGGGTTCAATCCTCAGCACCACATAAAAATAAATAGAATAAAGGTATTGTGTCCATCTACAAATACACACACACACACACACACATGCATATATATAAATAACCAGTACACCTGCTTCACCTGGTTAACTAGTTAACTAGTGCTTTTCACTGGGACCTTAGGAAACTGCTGAAGGCCTGTGAGCCTCTGTGCCCCTACTCTGGGAACTGCTGTCACAACAGGGACAAGCTGAGGATGTGGTTGGTCCCTGATTGAAGGGCATGCTAGCCTGTTGTGCTCTCCAGCATCCTGACCTCCTAGAAGGTTCCCCCATCTTTCGCATCCCTTCTACTCCAAGTTCCTCAGGGGAGGCCCACTGTTTCCTGCACACAAACTCCTTCAATTACCTGAAGCCAGTTTCCTGGGGTCCTCCCCCCAGCCTCTCTCCCAGCCTGGGCTTCTTTTCTTAGCTCCTGCCTGCAGGTTCTGACCTGGTCCACATTTTAGAACCTGCATCCTGGGCCAGCAGTCAGGAGTGTTTCAAGTGCAAGCCTCCCACGGAGACCAAAGGCATTCCCCAGGCTCCTGTGACAGTTCACAAGCAGCTGTCTTCTTTCAGAGAGAAGTAGTAAGCATTCTCTACCTGGATGGCCGTCCCAGGGAGGCTCCTGTGTGGGGCATCTGCCTCAGTCCTTTCTCCCTCTGGGAGAAAAGTCAGGAAATTTGAATGGACTCACTCTAACAGCAAGGACAAAGGAATCCATCACAAAATGGAAGCTGGCAGAAGCATTTGGAGGTGGCAACTGGGGAGGGAGGGACTGGGGTTGGGAGCTCAAGGAGTAGCCCAGAGGCCAGTAACAGGTCACACTAAGTGACAGCTCTGCTGGTCCCTCACTTACCTGTCACACAGGGTCACCTGGGGTCTGCGTCTCACCTGCAGACAGTCAGTATGGAGAGGGAATAGGCCTGCAAGGAGGAAATCCCCTGGGAGGCTGAAGTCAGGGGAGAACCACGTCTTGTGGCAGCTAAAAGCCCAGCAGCAGGCGATGGAGAGTTGCAAGACTGCCAGGTGAGCCACCCACGGTGACATACTGGCCAGGCGCCCCTGTGCCCAGCATGGCAAGCAGCAGCGTCTGACAAAGCCTGCCTTAAATAGAAGAGAGGGCAGTTGCCCAGGCACTTCACAAGTTGAGGCTCCTGAAAGGGGTGGGACTGGAGTCCAGTTGTAGAAGCTAGGGTGCTTCTTTTGGTTTTCCGGGCCTGTGGTCCCACTCAGGAACTGGGCAGGACCAGGGCATGGATGCAAACCAGGCAGCACCCAGTGACCCCTCCTCTGGACGATGTGGGTTTTGTCCTTGTTCTGGTGCCTGTGGCTTCACCTGGCTCTGAAAGGGAGCACTAACATTTTGAGCACCAGGGAAGCTGGAACACAGTTTCTCTGACTGCTGTGGGCTTCTATCAGTGAGTTGGGGATTTTTGTTTTGTTTTGGGGTCCTGGGGATTGAACCCAGGGGCGCTTCACCACTGAGCTATATCCCCAGCTCTTTAATTTTTTTTTTTCTTCTGAGACAAGGTATAGTTAAGTTGCTTAGGGCCTCACTAAGTTGCTGAGGCTGGCTTTGAACTCGTGATCCTCAGTCTCCGGGGCCCCTAGGATTACAGGGGTACTCCACCATGCTTGGTTGGAAACAGGGTCTTGCTGTGTTGTCTAGGCTGGGCTGTGACTCCTGGGCTCAAGTGATTCTCCTGCCTTAGCCTCGCCAAAAACTGGAAGTACCGGTGTGCACCACTGAGCTGACAGGCAGCAGGCTTTAGAATCCTTTACCTGTGCCTCAGTCAACTGGGATATGGCTTTGAATTGACATGCCCATTCTCAGTTCCCAATTTTCTGACACTGACCGAATCATTATAGTTCAGCCTTGTTATCCAGGGTTGGTCCCTTCAGCCCAAAGACAAATACATGCAAACAAAAGGTATGCAAAAAGGCTGACTTTGTTTAAAATGCCAATCTTGGAGCTTTTTCTAAAGGAAAAATAAATCCCAGGTGGATTTCCGGAGGAGACCTGGTGGTTTCTGGCTTTCCCTCTCCAGCCGGCCCGGGGTTGAACTTTTGCATAATGTAAATGGGGCCCACTGTGGGACCTCAGAGGCCCCCAGGCCAGCAATAGCCTCTGCGGAGGCCTTGGGGCACCTCATGTTCTGCCGGAGGTCGTCGGCAGAGGGCGCCAGCCACCCCCGAGGCCGCTCCAGCAGGCCGCCCCTAGGGCCACGGAGGGAGCGACGGGATCTCGCGAGATTCTCGCGCGGCGGGCACAGAACGGACGGCATGGCTGACTCGGTGGTGCAGTTGCGGCGCGGCCCTAGCCGCTCTTCGTGGCTGCGGGTCCGCAAGGCCCGGCCCCAGCTCATCCTCAGCCGCCGGCCCCGCCGCCGGCTCTGGACCCTGCGCTGGAGCGGCCGGCGGCGCCTGCGACGACGCCTGCTGCAGGCCCACGCGGCGGGCGCGGACTGGCTCGAGGACTCCGGCCAGTGCTCGCGCGCGGCGGCGCCGCGGAGGCCCAAGGCCGCGGACCCCGAGCCCGAGCCCGGCCCCGAGCCCGGCCCCGAGCCGGAACCGGCTGCATCCACGAAAGGCCCCCAGAACCTCCCCTCCTGGTCCGTGCGGCAGCTGGGCCCGGGCCGCGCGTTGATGCTGCTGCCCGCGGAGCAGGTGGGTGGCGCCTCCCTCCCGTGGCCCTGCGGCCGGGCGCCCGCGGGTGCCGGTGGGTCGTGCTGGATCGCGTTTGGCGCTCCCACCCGCTTCTGAGCGGTCACCGTCCTCTGCTGCACGTGCTTCCGCACCGAGGAGCAGGTGAAGTCCCGGTATCGGGCAGGAGAGCGGGCGGAGCTGCCGGTCCACTCAGACCCGGCACCGGCGGGAACGAGAAAGGCTTGGCAGGCGGTGGCCTGGTGAGGAGGGTGCATGGAGCGGGTGGAAGGCTGAGCGCCGCGCGGGCCCTCTGCTTCGCGTTGTTTAATTCCCAGGCTTTCTCTGGAGCCGCCGGGGAGCGTGACCTGAGGTTAAGACCGGGGGCGGGGGCGCAGCATCCCACCAAAGCAAGGAAATGAAGGCATTCTGTCCATCTACAACTGCAAATAATAGTAATAATAATAATATGGCATGTGGGGGCACCTTGTACTGTGTGTTCTGTTGTGTAAAACATCAGCCGCCTTTTGATATGTAAATGGCAAGTTAAGATTTTAGAATTTCTCTATCATTAGTAACAGGGTCTGTAATCATTTCCGCATTTTTTCCCTTCCCCCATTAGACTTTTACTTTTAGCGGGATCTGCCGTTTGACTTGCCTCTATGGCCAGGTGGAGGTGTTTGGTTTCCTCATCAGCCAAGGCCAGCCTGCCCAAGATATCTTCTCTACCTATACCCACGCGTACCTGACCATTAATGCAGTTCATTACTCCATGTCTGAGAAGAGAGAGAAGGAGATGAGAAAGGAAGCCCGGATTTTGCTCAGATCTCATCTTAACTTGGGTAATGAAAAGAACGGGGTAATTTACTGAGGGCCTACTATCATAAAGTTAACGATTTTTACTGCTTACCGTGGTGTACATATTGTGCTAAATACTTTTTAAAATCCCTCCCAAGGGTCCTAGGAGTTAGAAGAGTTAACTTTGTTATTTTTCACGATTTTTCAAATGATCATAATTGCCAAGGCCTGAAGCCATAATTCCAACTCTCAAAAAGTTTACAGTTTGAAGAGATGCTGGAGCAGAGAATTTAGATGAATTGCTACTTCTACAGTGGTCTGCTTTTCTCTTTACAGAGGACAGATGTTGGGCAATGAAGAATTTTTCTCCTTTGTGTTCCATTGTGATGCTAGAACGTGTGAAAAACTCCACTGTAAACTTCCTAACCAGCTATCCAGGTTTATCTTACATTTTCACGCAAGAGGTATAACCAGTTCATCCAGAGTTTTGTTAATTATTTGCACCGAAGTTGTCATATCAAATGACTATGGAGGATGCTCTCTTGGAAGATCTATCCTGTTAGTGTGGTAGATCCTACAGAATGTCATGTGTGCCAATAGTTAGAAAGTTGTCGGTATAGAAAGGGTTATCATGAGAAATGTCTCTCCTCCTTCCTCAGTTTCATCATCCAGCAGAGGCCATCATTTCAAGTTGTAGTTGGTTAATGGTTACTTTCTCTAAACAATGCAAGAATGACTTAAATCATTTACACATCCATCTCTCCTTCTCATCTCTAAATTTTTGTAGGCTGTGTTATTAATCTTCTGAAGTTAAGTTCCATTACTATAAATGTCTCCCATGAGCCAGAAGTGAGTTTAATTTGTGAATTTTTTTTTTTTTTTTCTGTACTGAGGTTGAACCCAAATGCTCTCATGTGCTAGGCTTATGATATACCACTGAACTACATCAGAGCCCATAGGATTAGTGGACAGACTGGATATGAGTTGTAAGGAAGAATCACAGAGGCTGGAGTGTACCTCATTGGTCAAGCATGTCCTTGATACGCGTGAGAGCCTGAGTTTGATCTCTAGCACTGAAAACAAAACAGAAAAGAATCATGGAGTAGAACCAGGCTTGTTAGCCTCAGCATCTGGATACGTAGAGTTGCTTCTGACTGAGGCAGGCACTGTGGTGACCAGCCAGGGCATGCTGGTTGGAGACACCTGTGAGGCGTCTAACTGGAAATGCCAACTGGGCAGTGGAGTATGTGAGCCAGAATTGAGGGAAGAGGTTGGACTGTAAATTTAGGACTGGACAGCAGAGGGGATTCAGAGGACTTTACTGTAAAGAGAAGGGGGAGAGTGAAGCAGGGTTAGTATGATCAGGAAAGTTTTGTTCTTGGTGAGATGGAATTTAAATTAGGGTTGCTGAGGCAAGAGAGTCACTAGTTCAAGGCCATCTTGATCAATTTAGCAAGGCCTGATCTCATTTAATTAAGAAAAGGGGTAAAGATGAAGCTCAGAGGTAGAGGACTCTTGGATTCAATCACCAATACCACAAAAAACAACAAAAAAGGTGAAAATTTAAAACTCCATGCTTGCACAGCAAGTGGGGATGATGGGGAGGGTGAGAGAGTAGCCAGAACTATCAGGACCCCCCCCCCTCCACTGGGAGGGTCTGGCTACCAGGCTCTTGGCCTGAGGAGGAACGGTCCATTTGGAATAGGTGTCCAGGAAGGGCCAGGGGCAGTCAGAAGGCCATTGACAAATGTCTTCTCCCACAGTGGACATGGGACGAGGGTAGTCACTGGGTGGGGAGCAGACAGGGTGTGGGAGGTTTACATGGAGTGGGCAGTGCGGCCTTTTGTGATTGAGCTTTAATCCACTGTAGAATCCAGCAGCTTGGTGGAGCCTCAGGAAGAGGTGTGTCCAAGCCTCTGCCACTGGGGAGTGACTGTTCTGAATAACTAGGATTGGGCACTGGTTTTTCACTTATTTACAGCTCCCCACCCAGGACTTAATGTCCACTGTTGTTTTGTTCCTTATGCTCTTTTTTATTTCTCCCATACCCAGGTTGAACCCAGGGGTGTATAACCACTGAGCATACATCCAGCCCTTTTTATATTTTATGTAGAGATAGGGCCTTGCTAAATTGCCGAGGCTGGCTTTGAACTCATGGTCCTCCTGCCTCAGCCTCCCCATCCACTGATATTATCACCAGCGTGTTTCACGGCTGTGGGCCTGGGTTGAATTTTTCCTATGACAATCATTTTTAGGTTTGCAGTCCTTTTTGTATTCTAAGGAGCCTTCTGCAGAGATCCTGGCAGTTCTGGAGTTAGCGTGTGCTGTGGGGCCATGGTGCCGACCACGAACGGCTTCAGGAGGGGTTGATGGGCTTGCCGGTGGGTTGGATTTGGGGTGGTGAGAGAAAGGGAGGGACCAAATTTACCTTTCATATTTTACAACTGTGTTAGGGTTTCTAAATTTAGAAATGATGAAAAGGGTACATAGTTTTCACTGTTTCTTAAAGTTTAAATTGTTATATTTCAGATTTCAACTTTCCAGATTAATGCTGAATATTTTGCCTTGAAGTCTGTTGGCATCAGAAAAGAGAAAAAGAAAAAATCACTTAATTTAAGTGTGAGTGCCCTGTCAGCCCTGGAGGAGTTGGTCAGCGTTTCTTCTGGTGAGTATGTTTTGGTAAATTTGGGCGTTGTCCACTGAAGCTTCAGAGGACTCCTGCTTGTGATTAAAGGACTGAAGAAGACCACTAATTCCAGCCCTGTGTGTTTCACCTCCAGAAGAAGCAGATGGCTGCCCTATTGTTCTGGTCTGTGGCGCCCAGGACGTTGGAAAGTCAACATTTAACAGATACCTGATTAACCAGTTGTTAAATAGGTAAGAGTGCCTTTATTCTCTTGGTGCATTGCTAGAGTTTAGGCAGGATTTTTTTTTTTTTTAAAGAGAGAATTTTTTTTTAATATTTATTGTTTAGTTTTCAGCGGACACAACATCTTTATTTTATTTGTATATGGTGCTGAGGATTGAACCCAGCGCCGCATGCATGCCAGGCAAGCATGCCAGGCGAGCGCGCTACTGCTTGAGCCACATCCCCAGCCCTAGGCAGGATTTTTGATTGGAACAGTATGTCAGAACCTCGTCCTGCCTTCTCTATGGAGATTTGTACAAGGCTGTGCAGAGCTGCTTGCTGACAGTGATGCACTGGGAATGCAGTGACCTTGAGGCTGCAGGCTGGGCTCGGACTTCCCTAGGGCCTGTGGGTGACTGGCGAGGGCGGGCACTTGGTCTCTGGATGTTTGTGGAGCTGAGGTGCAGATGCCGAGAGTCAGAGTGGGGATGAGTAGTTTTGAAGATGGAATGGTGAAGAGGCCAAGTTGCATGTCTGCTGTTCAAGGTCACTGTCGGCAGGCCTGCGCTTGGTGGTTGTCTCTTGGAGCATTCTGCCTGAAATTGCTGCATGGCGTGCATTATGACTGTGTCATGTGGAACTGTGACTATCTGATTTCTCCTTTCCACAGAGTAAAACTAGTTGAGATTTTCTTTCTTTTCCTTTTTAAACATTTTCAGTATTTCCTGCGTTGACTATCTGGAATGTGACCTGGGCCAGACCGAATTCACTCCTCCAGGTTGCATCTCTTTGCTTAATATTACGGAACCAGTTCTGGGTATGTATTATGTAATTCTTCATTGTCTTGATTTCATAAAATTCAAAAATAATGATACCTGCCCAAAACTCAGTCTGACAGTATAGACTAGAGAAAGTGAGCGCAGTCCACCAAACCCAGGTCTCTGCATAGCCACACCTCCAGCCTCCACACACCCACTAGGGAGTATTTCTGTTTGGGAAGTGGAATTGCTCCTTATTTTGCTTTGTGTAAATTAAAAGCACACCTGTCCTGATATTAATGTTTTATGGGACCTTCTACAACTCTCCAAACCAAGAAATGCACAGTGGTACAGTGCAGGTTTCAGTCAGAATTCACCAGTTACCTGGTTCAGAATCCAGTATGGAATTCCTTGTTGCTTTATTTTAATAAAATATACAAATGTGTTCATCATTTTAGCCATTTGTGTGTATAATTCAGAGGCGTAAAGTCCATATACAATGTTTTGTGACCCTCTGTGTATCAAACTTTTAATTATTTCAGTGTGAAATGCTGTACTCATTGAACAGAAATCCCCTCCTCCCTTGTCCCCTAGTTTCTGATAGGTTCCCTCTACTTCCTGTCTATGAATTCTCCTGTTGCAGACCCTGTATGAGTGGAGCCATGCAGTGCCTGTCCTACTGTCGTCTGGCTCGTTTTGCTCAGCATTGTGTTTGCAGGGTCCTTCCATGTTGGAGTGTGTATCAAAATTCAATTCCTTTTTTACAACTGAATATTACTGCATTCCACGTGTTTTTCTACTTGTTTTTCCATGCAGCCATTGGTGGACACTTGGGTTGTTTCCATGCTTTGGCTGTTGTGGAGAGTGCCATTAGGAACATGAGGCACTGGTTCCTGTTCAAGGCTCTGCTTTCACTTTTTTGTGACTTTATATTTAACCTTGTGTTTATTAGCCAATTGCATATCATTTTGGGGGAGGTGGATTACCAGGGATTGAACCTAGAGGCACTTTAGCACCGAGCCACATCCCCAGTCCCCGCCCCCCCTTTTTAAGTTGTAGTTGGACACAATGCCTTTATTTTTATTTATTTATTTTTATGTGGTGCTGAGGATCAAACCCAGTGCCTTACCTGTGCTAGGCGAGCACTCTACCACTGAGCCACAACCCCAGCCCCTTAAAAAAAATATATAGAGAGAGGGGGGGGGGCAGGGAGGGAGGGAGGGAGGGAGGGGTAGGGTCTCACTGAGGTGCTGAGGGATTGTTAATACTGGCTTTGAACTTATGATCCTCCTGCCTCAGCCTCCCAAGCCACTGGGGTTACAAGTATGCGCCACTGCACCTGGCCTCAGCCCTTTTTATTTTGAAACAGAGCCTCACTAAGTTGCTGAGGCTCTCCTCGAGCTTGCATTCCTCTTGCCTCAGCCTCCAGAGTTACTGGGGTGAGAGGTTTGTGCCACTGTTCCTGACCATTTATATATCTTTGAGTACATGTCTATTGAAGTCCTAGAATACAGCTTTTTTTTTTTTTTTAAACCAATGCTTGAACCCAGGGGCACTTCTAACCACTTAGCCACATCCCCAGTCCTTTTTTGTATTTTATTTATTTGGAGACGGTCTCACTGAGTTCTTCAGGGCCTTGCTGAGTTGCTGAAGCTGGCTCTGAACTCATGATCTTCCTGTGCCCCTGAATATTACAGGCAGCTGAATATTGCATATTTTTAATTGGGTTCTTTATTTCTATGGCATTTAGAAGTTGCCACATCTAGTGTTCATGAAGCTTTTGTTTTCTAAGAATGTTTTCATTCTGACTCTCAAGTCTAAAATCTTTGTTATGCTTAGAATTCGTATTTGCGTAGTATAAGGAACAGGTCCAGGTTGGTTGTTTCTTGTATGTCTATAGATTTCCCCCACTGAACAGTCTCTAAGATCATCTGACTATATATTTCAGGCTTATAAGTTCTATTCTGTTGGTCTGTATGTCTGTTCTTGTTTCAAGTGCTACACTGCTTTAATCACTATAGCTTTTTTTTTTTTTTTTTTTTAATGTTGATTCTGTGTCCCACAACATTATTGGATTTATTTTCTGATGGAATCTTGTGGGTTTTCTACATGTAAGATCATGGCTGTGTATAAGGTCAAGTCAGCTAGTCAGCTGTAAGTAGAGACAGCCTCACTTCCTCCTTTCCTGTTGGGTGCCTGATGATCCGAGCTACGACTCCCAGAGCTGTGTAGACAAGAAGTATGAGTCAGCTTTATTCTTTTTTTTTTTTAATATATTTTTTTAGTTGTAGATAGACACCATACTTTTATTTTATTTATTTATTTTTATGTGCTGAGGATCAAACCCAGCACCTCGTTCATGCTAGGCAAGCATTCCACCACAAAGCCACAACCCGAGTTCTCGCCCAGCTTGGCATCGCCGGCTCTCTGATTTCAGTCTCTTCATCCCTTCCTGTTTCCTCATCTAAAAGTGGGGATCTTGCCACTGCTCACCTCAGGGCTTTTGTGAAAGTTGGGGACTATGAGCAGAGCAGTCAGTCAGCTGTGTATCCAGGAGCATTGCTGGAGGTCCATCCTCACCCTCTCAGGAGGGGATCCCTGGGCATAGGGAAGGCTTCTCTTTGCCCACAGGGCATCCCAGTGGGGAGAGCCAAGGCAGCAGATGTTCAGCAGGTAGGTGAAGGAATGGCCACGGAGGGCATCATTGGTAACTGTATGGTAAAAGTGAGCCTGTCTTCAGGTTCAGATGAAAGTTTACTCTTCCAAAAATGGAACCACAGCTGTTCCTGTTGTGTGCTTTGGATGGTTGCTCTCCAGCGGCATCCCTAGCCTGGCCTGTTACTCTGCTCTTCATCTTCCAGGACCACCGTTCACCCACCAGAGGACACCACAGAAGATGGTATATTATGGGAAACCTTCTTGTGAGAACAACTACGAGAATTATATTGAGATAATAAAATATGTGTTCAGCTCTTATAAGAGAGAGTGCCCACTCATCATCAACACTATGGGCTGGGTGGCAGGTAATGAGTGGCACGGGGAGCGTGACCAGCCTGAGCAGCACATGGGTGTGGGTGCCATGGGTGCTCGATGAGCACATGCTGTGCACTTGCAGGCCAGGGTGGCCTAGCTGCCTCCTCAGACCTCAGCGTTTCTTTGTGCTGAAAACATTTTAATAGCTTTTCTTCTAGCTTTTTTGAAATACATGCATTGTACGTTGTCCTTATTAGTAGTCACCCTGCTGTGCAATAGAATGTCAGAATTCATTTGTTCTATGGAGGGAACATGCCTGTTGACCAGCCCTTCCTTGTCCCTTCCTCCCTCTTCTCCTCAGCCTCTTGTCACCACCTTTCCACTGTCAACTTTTTTTCTTTTTAGTATTGGGGATTGAACCCAGAGGCCCTCAACCACTAAGCCGCATACCCAATCTTTTTATTTTTTTATTTTGAGACAGGGTCTCACTAAGTTGCTGAGGCTGTCTTTGACCTTGTGATCCTTCTGCCTCAGCATCCTGAGCCACTGGGATTACAGGCGTGCCGCTCTTATTTTTTGAGGAATTGCCATATTTTTTTTGTGTGTGTGTGTGTGGTGCTGCGGGTTGAACCCAGGGTCTTGTGCATGCAAGGCCAGCACTCCACCAGCTGAGCCGTATCCCCAGCCCCTGCTGTTATAATTTGCATTCCCACCAACTGTGTGTCAGGGTTCCCTTTTTTCTATATCTTTACCAGCATTTTTGTCAGGTTTTTGTTTTTGTTTGGGGATTGAACACAGACATGCTCTACCACTGAGCTGCATCCCCAACCCTTTTTATTATTTTTTATTTTGAGACAGGGACTCACTAAGTAGCCCAGGCTGGCCTTGAACTTGAGATCTTCCTGCCTCAGCCTTCCAAGTAGCTGAATAGCTGGTATTACAGGTGTGTGCCACCTTGCCTGCCTTTTTTGTTGTTTGGATAATAGCTGTTCTGTCAGAGGAGATGTCTCACTGTGGTTCTGGTTTGCGTTTCCCTGACAACTGGTAATGTTATGCATTCTTCCATCTACACCTGTTGGACTTTTGGATATCATTTGAGGAGTGTCTAGTTATTTTTTTGTTTATTTTCGGGGCTAGTACCAGGGATTGAACTCAGGGGTACTTGGCCACTGAGCCACATCTCCAGCTCTGTTTTGTATTTATTTAGAGACAGGATCTCCCTGAGTTCCTTAGCACCTCACTTTTGCTGAAGCTTGATTTGAACTTGCAATCCTCTTGTCTAAGCCTCCTGAGCCACTGGGATTAGAGGCGTGTGCCATCATGCCTAGCTTGTTTTGTTGTTGTGTTGTTGTTGTTGTTGTTTTGTTTTTGTTTTTTGCAGTAGTTGGACTAGACCCTAGACTCATGCTAAGCAGCTGCTGTACCACTGAGCTACACCCCTAGCCCTTTTGCCCATTTTTAGTTTGTTTTGGCTGTACTGGGATTGGACCCAAGGCCTCACACATGCTCGGCAGCCACTCTAAAGCTGCATCCCCAGCCCTACTATTGCTTATTTGTAATCAGATTACGTGGGGATTTTTCTTTTTATTTGCTTGAGCTCCTTATATATTCTAGATAAAAAAAAATCCAGTTATCCATCTTTTTGTTTTCTGGTGTTTTTTTTTTTTGGGGGGGGGGGTACTAGGATAGAACTCAGGGGCCCTTTACCACTGAGCCCCTCCCCTTTTTAGTTTGAGATGGCATCTCACTAAAGGCTGGCCTTGAACTTCCCTTCCTTCTGTCTCAGCCTCCCAGATCGCTGGGGTTGCAGGCATACACCATTGTGCTCAGCAGCAAGCTGAGCTGTTAAACCCTGATGGTCTCTTTGCCTGAGGGTGACTGTCTCTGTTTCTGGTTGGAATGAGGCTCCCCTCTAATCCCCAGCTGTGTTCACATCATCTCCTTCCTCACAGATGAAGGGCTTCTGCTGCTCATTGACCTGATCCGGTTGCTGTCTCCCACCCACGTCATTCAGCTCAGCTCTGCCCGGAGTAAACAGATGGCCAACCTCACCCCAGATTATGTGGATGACATGGATGGCTTGTATACAAAAAGCAAGTCCAAAGTTAGGAACCGTGGCTATGAACTTCCAGAATTTGCAGATAATTTGGAATTTGCTGACGAAGATAAAGAGAGTTCAGTTCTTTTTACTGGACATAAACTTATATGTGTTTATTCAGAATTTTCACCCAGAAAATCTTCAAGGAATAGGTAAGTAAACCATCTGGCTGAAGAGCTGTTTCCTTCGATTGAATGAGGCATTTTGTTTTCACTTCCTTAGAAGGATAAGGCCACAAAAACTTCATATCTGGCCTGAGGGTATGGCTTAGTGGTTGAGTGTTTACCTAGTGTGCATGAGCCTGTGGGGTTCTATCTTCAGCATTACAAAAGCAAAATATTTTCAAATCTATCATAGTTATGCAGTTACTAAGGAGAATCCTTATTTTCTCAATGGAAACATCCAGAGATGTCCTCCAGCTCTTTGCCAGTAGCTTTAGCTTAAGGAGAATCTTGAAGCTTATGTTTTCTAGCAGGGCTGTATCAAGGCAAGACTGAGGATATAAAGGTGGGGGTGTCTTTGTGGGTGTGGTGCTGGGCTTGAACCCCAGGTCTCATTTGTGCTGGGCAATTGCTGTACCACTGAGCAACACCCCAGCCCTAGGGAGGGCATGTCTTGGAAGAGCACAGCTCAGTGTGTTGTGTAAAAGCCACCTAGGTGGTGACCACACTTGAGTCTCTGCATGGACAGTGGATATGGAAGAAGTTACTTACATCCTTCTCATTTACCTTTGCAGGGAGTCACATAACAGAATTTTTCGAGAACTGGCAGTGTTAGGTTATCTTAGCCAGCTGCTGCCCCCAGTGCCAAAACCACTCAGTCCTTTACATGGCCTGACGCCCTATCAGGTATTTGGGACACGTGGGAGAAATTGTCTGTTTCATTTTTCTCGTGACTTCCTACATGCTGTGCACCCTTAACTCTTGACTCATTTAAGTTAACCCCTTAACTCTTGGCTCATTTAATCCTCAGAACCACCTGTGATGTAGGTTCTATAATCATCTCTATTTTACAGGTGGAGAGACTAAGGTGTATAGAGGCTCGGGGACCCAGCAGAAAGTTAGCAAAGCTGGTATTTTACCCCTGGCAGCCAGCTTGGTGCTGGGCGTTCACAGCTCCATGCCTGTTACTGGTGTTCTTCTGTTGTTCCTAATCCAGTGTCAGTTCCAACACTTGCATTCGTCAGCTGTGTGTGACTGTGTGTGGGCAGTGTCAGATATCACAGAAGGCTTGTAGGCAGCATTTCTTAAAGGAATGCTCTGTGCTCTGCTTTGTTTTAAGCCTGTGTTAACTCCCGTTCCTGTCCCCATTTTACAGATTGTGAGACCAAGGGACTTTGAGTTAGCTTGCCCACAGTAGCCTAGTACAAGTTTAGGTGGGCCTCAAGCCCAAACATGCCTGGAGAGCCCAGAGTCCACTCTGGGGAGTGGTCTGTCTGCTTTGGAACAGCTACTCTGTGCCAGGTCCTTTACAGGGCCCCTCACATGGAATGACTGTGGTTACATGGTAGCCTGAGAGGAAGATGCCCTTAGTGTCCCCACTTAATAGCTCCAAAAGCTGCACACAGCCAGGTGGAGGCCCTGCCTAAGGTCACACAGGCAGTGTTGGCAGACCTGGGTGGGCTTCCAAGTCTTCTCCGCTAGACAGGCAGGTGGTTTGATGGGGTTTCTGATCATGGGGTCATCTATTTGCTTGGAGATGACTCTGTAACTGAACTTGAAACTTACCTGCCAATAGTTTTATCACTTTTTTGTTTTATATTTACTTTTCTTTTGGGGGGTGCGGGTACTAGGGATTGAGCCCAGGGGCACTTTACCACTGAGCCACATCCCCAGCCTTTTTTTTATTTTTTATTTTGAGACAGGGTCTCCCTAGGTTGCTGAGGCTGGCCTGGAACTTGCAGTCCTCCTGCCTTAGCCTCCCAAAGAGCTAGGATAACAGGTTTACTTTTTAAGTCTAAATAATACATGTAAGAAAATAACTTCTCTACTTTAAAATTTGAAATTACCTAGAAAGTTGCATGTTTTTCATTTACTTTGTGCTCTAGGAATGTAGTCCATCCCACTTCATCTACTGTGTTTAGGTTGGGAAGCGTATGGAGCCTGTCTCGGGATTGCTTCTCACTTTCTTACATCAGAACACTCAGTGGATAGATCTTACTTATACTTGGCTGGAAGTCTCCCTCTGCTTTAACTGATTTAGGACATCTTCAAGTTTGAATTTATTTGTATCTGTAGATAGGAAAGTGCTGGGGATTCAGTTTAGATTTCTAGCAGGTATGCTGGTGCACAAGCACTGTGTGTATGTTAGGGTCTTTATTAAAGCGTGCAGCCATGGCCAAGTGCTGGCTAGTGCTTCATTTGTTATTTTGGTGGGCAGTTTGGCAGATGTAGATGGCAAGTCAGCTTGTTAAAATTAAAAATAGTTTTTTGAAATAAAAATTAATAGAAGGGTTCACATTTATTTTCCAGGTCCCTTTCAATGCAGTTGCCCTCCGGATTACTCATGCTGATGTCGCCCCCACTCACATACTGTATGCTGTGAATGCCAGCTGGGTTGGCCTTTGCAAGATCCTGGATGATGTCAGAGGCTACACAAGGGGGCCCATCCTGCTGGCACAGACTCCCATCTGTGACTGTTTGGGGTTTGGTGAGTTCAGAGTAAAGCTTGTCCCTAACCTTGCTATAAAGGACCTACTTCAGCCATAGATGATTGGTCTTGACATTGTAGCTATCTCTCAGCTAAAGAGGTCTGAAAAAACATTGCATTTTTTTTCCTTCTCCTCGCAGCTCCTCTGTGTCTAGAATTCCCACTGGCCTTGACCTGGCCCTCTCCCTGGACACCTTTCCCAAGGCCATCCCATCTACTGCTGGGACTTCTCCATCTTTGGACTGACTGCTCCCATACTACACTTCCACCATGACTAGTCTGCCTTCCAAACCCCTTTGCAAGTAGACACCTCCCCATGGGGGTCTTCTGTCCAGACTGAGGCTCTGGTGTTAGTCAGACCCCTTGCCCTACCTGGGCTCCCCTCACCGCATCCGGCACCTCCAGTCCATTGGCGGTTCTTACGGTTTCTATTTTCAAAATATGTGTGGTTCCTGCCCATCTTTTCCCAATGGTAGCCAGGCACTGCATTTCCACAGGGGCTACTAGGAAAGCTTAGCTGGAGTCTCCTAGTTCCTCTCTTTAAGCCCTCCCCAAAGTCAGGTGACCTGAATGCAGAGGTGATGCCACTGCCCCTTCTCCATCTTCACCTCATGGAATGCTCCAGCTCAGAGGTCGATGATGTCAGCATGGAGTTTTGGAAGGCTAAGTAACCCACAATTATCAAAGTCCTTAAGTAATTAAATGTACATTTCAGGTCTGTCCAGCATTACTTCTCAAAAGCATTTCCACAGAAATCATGCAGTTTGGTACCAAGTACAGGGAAGAAACAGTGATGGGGAAAGGTAGAGTCCTATCTCATCTCCAGGGTGCTTCTCTCAGCTTGGTTACAATAGTCCATGGCTTTTGCAGTAGCTCATTTTGGTTCCTAACAGCTGAATAGGGAAAGGTGCAGAGTTTTTGAGTTGCACTTTATATTCTCAAACCTTAATACACTTAAAACTGAAACTTGTTTTCAAGGCCGTTCTACAGTTTTGTTTTTTTCCTGGTATTGGTAATTGAACCCAGAGCCTCAAACATGCTAGGCAAGTGCTCTACCACTGAGCAATACCTGCAGTACTGCCCCCACCCTTTTATTTATTTATTTTTTTTTTTTTAGAGAGAATTTTTTAATATTTATTTTTCAGTTTTCGGCGGACTCAATGTTTTTATTTTATTTTATGTGGTGCTGAGGATCGAACCCAGCGTCCTGTACATGACAGGCGAGCGCGTTACCGCTTGAGCCACATCCCAGCCCCACCCTTTTATTTTTTTTAAACTGAAACAAGGTCTCACTAAGTTGCCCAGGCTGGCCTCAGACTTGCTGTCCTCCTATCTCAGTCTCCAGAGTAGCTGGGATGACAGGCATATGCCTCTGTGCCTGGCCCCATTCTGCAATTTTTAGTGGCAGGGAGCTTTGATGTCTCTGGAAAGACTGATTTTAGTGTTGTGAACTATCTTAAAGGGATCTGTAGAGGCATTGACATGGAGAAGCGGCTGTACCACATCCTGACCCCCGTGCCCCCAGAAGAATTGAGAACTGTGAACTGTCTCCTGGTGGGGGTCATTTCTATTCCACAGTGCATCTTCAAGAGCCAGGTAACTCCTCCCTGCCCCACCCTGGGGCAGCCCTTCAGGGAGCCTGATTGGGCCATGGCAGAGGGTGAGCAGCTGACTTGAGGCAGCTCTCTAGGGAGTGGAGCCAATTAGAGTGTCAAGGTCTCCTCGGAGTCCCAGGGATGCCAGCCATGGCGTGTGTGGTCAGAAGCCCCGGGGTGGAGCCATTACCACAGGAAGGGGTCCTGGGAAGCGCAGTGGTGGCCTCTACAGGACTGTCCCTCTTGTGAACAGTCTTCAGAGGCACCCAGCATCTATGCAGCCCACAGTTAATATAGGAGCAAAGGGGCAATAGAGCTGGGGTGTTCCTTTGCTCTCACCTGCTTGGGGATGCAAATGCACAGCATACCCACCTCCTCTTCTGGGGCTTGGTGTATTTGGGGAGCCAAATCAAACAGAAAGGAGGCACTTGCACACTTGTAGGTAGGCCTGTGGCTTCAAGAGGCCTTTTGAAGCCAGAGGCATAGTGGTGCATATCTGTAATCCCAGCCACTCAGGAGGCTGAGGCAAGAGGATTGCAAGTACCAAGGCCAGCCTGGACAACTTAGTAATACTGTGACTCAAAATAAAAATGATGCAGCTCAGTGGCAAAGTACCCCGGGTTCAGTTCCCAGTACCACAAATCAGTGAGAGTAGTGAGGCCCCTGAGGGAGGGAGCAGTGCCTGCGGCACCAGGCTGAGACCCCTCTTCCCCTCACATTGGCTCCCAGGTGCGGAGAGCATACTCTCGAGGCCCAGGCTGAACAGGTTTCCATGTGTTCTCTTTGTGTTTCCATTTCAGCGAGGACCTGAAGGGACGATTCCCTACGTCACAACAGATTATAATTTTAAACTTCCTGGAGCATCAGGGAAAATTGGAGCAAGAGAATTTGATGAGACACAGGAAGGGAAACTGAATCGAAGACCCAGATTCTATCAGAAAAAGTAAACAAATTTCAACAAGGGAAGAGAAGTTTGTACCAGGAAGCTTGGTGTGGAGCCTGACACCAGCAGACCTGGTGGGTTTTGTGGCTAATGATGATGACCTTACGTACAGGTTTCCTGTGGAACTCGTGAGGGTTGTATATTGAAAAGCTGCAAATTTCTCTCTCAACACTACGTGGCCTAGAACATGGCCCTGATGTTTGTATGGTTAATCATACTTGCAGTCTGGTGTTTTCTAAAGGAATTTAAGGCAATGAGCCAGTCATGGTACCACACCCCTGTAACCCCAACAACTCAGGAGGCTGAGGCAGGAGGTTTGCAAGCTCAAGGCCGGCCTCAGCAAGTTAGGGGACACCCTGTCTCAGAATAAAAAATAAGAAGCGGGGGCTGGAGTTGTGGCTCAGTGATAGAACGTTTGCCTGGCATGTGTGAGGCCCTGGTTCAGTTCTCAGCACCACATATAAATAAAGGTCTATCAACACCTAAAAAGTATTTAAAAAATAAATAAGGAGGGGGGCCTGTAGCTCAGCAGTAGAGCACTCCTGTGTTCAGTGCCACAAAAAACAAATCAAGCAAGCAGTGGGGAGAAGTTTGCATACTATTAAAATAGGAAGAATTGGGTCAGTTCCTCAAAAAATTCTTCTAGGATCTGGTTATTGGAATATCAGGATAAAAATAGAGAAATTGGGGGCAAGCCTGCATGCCAAGAAGGTCGGAAACTGATGGGCAGGACCTCTAGCCTGAGGTTGGGACTGCCTGTGGCCTCAGTGGGCAGGTGCAGGCAGGGAGCCTCCGCTCTGTCAACGCCATCAGACTTCTCCCAGCCACATGGATCATAAGTTAGAAAGAAGACTGTATTTGGTCTGTTGCTTTAATAGATAAAGATTTGGCATCAAGAGCTCTTTTAATCTGAGGTGTCACTCAGATTGTCCTCAAATTTGAAAAAGTTCCTGATGACTCTTTAAACCTAAATCTGCTTCCACTGACACCTCACCTCCTTGAAGGTCAAAGAGAGGGCTGCGGGGCAGAGCTCCAACCTTGACCAACAGCTCTTGTGAAGAGACCGAGTCACAACCTGGGACAGTTGCACCTAAACCTTGCCTAGGAGCAACTCCGACCCTGCCTTTGGGGCAGCTGTCATCACATTCCCTTCTCCTTGGAGGTGGTAGTCCCTATCCTCTGAGAAATGGGACCAGCTTGTTCCTGCACCTGTTGCCCTGGGGTGGGTGCTAAGAAGCATTTCAGACTGCCATGGGGACCAGTGAGGAGTTCCAGCTCCCAGTCCAAGAGGCGGGACACCAGCTCACTTACCAGTGTTTGTCCTGTGGTCAGCGCCTTTGTGGCCCCTGGCAACCTGCAGGCCTGTAGCAGGGCTCACAGATGAGCACAGGACGCCTCGGGGCAGGATACTCAGACCCATGAAGGGCTCCCTTCTTAGCCTTCACCTTAATCTGAAGGCAGCTGTGTTGTGTCTTTCTGGGTTGTCAGTGCAAAGAATTCAAGACAGTTTGCCACTGTCAGCAAGTCTGGGAGAGGGAACTTTAGCCTTTAATTGTGGACCTTGAAATGTCAGTCCCATCCATAAAGAAACCAAGTCAGCACTAGGGGGCGCTGCCAGCCTGCGGTGGGGCTGGGAGGGGTGCCGTTGAGGGGACCCAGGCACGCCTCTCTAGGGATTTGGAGGTTCTGGAGGTGGCTCTTTAGTCAGCTTAGACCACAATAGTGACATCCTCCTGTGATCTCATTGTCAGTGGCCTTCAGGGTGCTCAGAAAGGGTCAGATTGGACTTGGTCCTCTGATTGGGCAGGCCTGAGGTTCAGCAACAAGGGGCTCTCTGGGGGAGGCATCTTTGCCAGGCCCTTGGCCATTTTCTTAAGTGTGATTTCCACAGTAGAACATGCTTATAGATGAATATGACTTGGGAAGTAAAAACCTTTGGTTAAATGTCAGTTTTATGGTTTTAAAATCAGTTCTTTTACAAAAATCTATCCATGGGGAAAAGACGTGAAAATAATTGAGAAGATTCTCAAAATCTAGGACTTACTTCATAAATAAAGATGGTCCAAGTTGTTTCCATTTGTTCTAAGGTCAGACTTCCTGTGAATCAGTTTATCAGTGTGTCCCCTGCAGCCATCTTAAATACTTTTTAAAAAGCCACTGGAGAAGGCAGTGTGACTGGCCTTAGGAGTGCCTGGGGGTTGGCTATGTGTGTACCTGGCCAGAGGTGGCGTGCTGGAGCAGGCCAGGCAGGCTCAGGGATCCTGCCTCCTCCACTTGGACCCCTCTGATGGGCAGTTACTTAACCCAGGGGACACTCAGTTTCTGCCTGCTAAATGGCGTGAAGACTGAGGGATATGGGGTCCCTTTTGTTGTACCAGATGCTGGTTTGGGGGGCGGTGCTGAACCACACCCAGGCCTTGTGCTTGCCAGGCAAATGCTGTGCCACAAACCTATCATCCCAGCCTCTGGTTGTGAGGTTTAAAAAGTCATCTGATGGACTGGGGATGTGGCTCAAGCGGTAGTGCGCTAGCCTGACATGCGCGCGGCCCGGGTTCGATCCTCAGCACCACATACAAACAAAGATGTTGTGTCCGCCGAGAACTAAAAAATAAATATTAAAAAAAAAAAAAAAAGTCATCTGATGGGGTTAGTTTATCCTTTTGTTTATATGGCGATATAGTGACTAAGGCAGCACGTTTTGATGGTAGGTTGGGATCCCAGCCCCACCCTTTCCGAGCAGTGTACCTTTTGGGGGGGGCAGGTACTGGGGATTGAACTTGGGGTCACTTAACCACTGAGTTGCGTAGCACCTTGCTGTTGCTGAGGCTGGCTTTGAACTCGTGATCCTCCTGTCTCAGCCTCCCAGGCTGCAGGATTACAGGCATGTGCCACTACACCAGGCCTCTGAGCAGTGTGCCTTTTGAGGGAGTTGAGTGACCAAGTCTTCCTTTGAGGTTGGGGTAGTTTCCATTTGGGCTCCTGGGAGAGGAGTAGGTGAGGTCCTGGTATAGGGGCTAGCCCAGTCTCTGGCATGCAAAAGATGGTCCGAACTCCTGGTGTGTGGCCTGACTAGGTTATGAGCTAGACAGCAGACCCCGAATTATGTCCCTCACAGTTGTGTTGAAGGATACGGACGCTGCTTGCCCATCTTGCCTCCATTTACACCTGTGGAGGATGGTGTGGAACCCCTTCTCATAGGTAGCACCCTGGATCCCAAGAGGCTGCTGTGTCACGTCTGTGTGCGCTTATGAAATTGTGCCCTGTTACAGATGGTTTCCACCCAAATCGTCTACATGAACTCTGTCATTAAAGATTTTTGAGAACACGAATGTAACTGTGTGATTTTATTATGTAAATAAGCCATTTTATTCCAGGTAGTTAAGTGCCTATAAGGTACTGTGGCAAAAAATGGAAGGAATTTAATGAGTTAGGGTGCCAAAGCAGGAGACTCTCCGCCACCCAGCAGGTTCCTGTGCTCACTTTCTGTCAGTGTTGCTGGGGTTCATCTTAGTCTTCCTTTGTGGGCCCCTTTGTAAGTTAAGGGAGCCACATCCCTTCTGGGCTGCCTTGGAAAGCCCTGGAGAGAACAAGCAGCAGCCCAGCATGGGCGGGGGGGCCAGGGCATACCTGTAATCCCAGCAGCTCAGGAGCCTAAGGCAGGAGGATCATGAGTTCAAAGCCAGCCTCAGCAACTTAGTGAGACCCTGTCTTAAAAAGGGTTGGGGAGGGGGTGGGGATGTGGCTCAGTGGTTAAGTGCCCCTAGGTTTAATTCCGGCACGAAGCGAAAAAAAGCAAGACCTGAACACGGGTCTGCTGGTGAAGCTGCAGCATGAGTTCTGCTCATAAGTCTCCCTTCCTAGGCTGGGCGGGCGAGAGAAGGAGACAGTGACAATCTCTGCCGCAGGAGAGGCCCACATGACCTGCAGGGCCCCCCTCAAGAAGACTTTTGCCAGGGAGGGACCTGCAGGGCCCTCTCAGGAAGTCCTTTGCCAGGGAGGGGCAGGAGGATGGCGGTGCTGCATGCTGAAAGGAGTCTTGTGCCACAGGCCTAGTCCGCTCATACCAGGCGCTGGGTAAGCAGTCTTGAGATCCACAAATAGAGCTGAGCTGGGCAGCCCAAGGTTGCCATGGTTACTGGCCCTGATGCCACCACCTTGGTGGCTCAACTGAATGTGGCTTGGCTTTTTCTATTGCTTTGGAGCTCCCATAGTCTGATCTATGACCAGGCTATGACTGTCCCTGCTTGGCAGAAGCCACCCAACTTTCAGGCCTTTCTCACCAAGGAATCTAGCAGAGTGATTGCTGCAGACTTGGGTTCGCAGGACTAAGGCCTCCATGGCTCTGTGTTCCCAAGAAGAAGGGAAGGCTCTGTTCCGGGGGTGACTGGGCTTGGCAATGGAAAGTTCAAGGGGGAGAAACCAACATGGAAAGTGCAAGCCATGGTTCTGAAGCGGTATGTTAAATATATAATGCCCAAGAGACCAGTGTTGGAGGGAAGCAAATTGGCAGGGCTGAGGGCTCTGGGGTTTTCTGTGCAGACAGATTCAGCTAGAGAAATTAAGATTGGAGCTCGTGCTGGGAGAAGTCCTTCACAGCCAGGACTGCAGCTGGGCAGAGGGACAGAGACTCAAGTGGCTGATCAGAGAGGCCTGTGGTGTGGGCATGTGGTTGGAGGGCCAGGCAGAGTGCTACCATCCTGGAGGTCAAGCATGAACTCAGTCTTGACAAAACATGGGCCACCATCTCGAAACTGGCTCACCCTTCGTCCCAGGAGCAGTGAGTGCATTTTCTCCCTTTGGTTTATCTGGAAAGAAAGATTGAAGATATGGAGCAAGAAGCAGAAGCTGTGCAGGTCTTGAAGGGACCACCAAGACCCCATGCTTAATTAGCCTAGACCCTTACAAACTACTCTGTAGAGCTGGGGGGTGCAGTGCGGTGGTAGAGGGCTTGCCTACCCTGTGCGAGGTCCTGGGTTCCATCCCAGCACTACACACACACACACAAAAAAAAAAAACTCTTTGCTGGCCGAAACAGCTTGTTCTCATTAACCAATGACTTCAGAGCATAGAGGTCAAAGGCCTCCCAGCCCAGAAATTTCAAATTTCAGCTATCAACTCTGATTTGGAAAGCAGAATGAGAAGGTGCCTCAGAACCTCCAATGTGTCACATTTTGCAGACTGTCACATTTTGTGCATTAAAATTGGGCCCCCAAGTTCACTTTCAACATGTGCCATGACATATTTGGGGAGTGAGGGTCAGGAGTCATGTCCTTGGAATCCAATAGCATCCCTTCAATGCATGTTTGGGGCCCTGGCCTGGGAAGCAACCTGATCCCAGCCTAAGAGAGATGGGCCTGGGGCACACAGAACACTGACTTCTCCACTAGTATCCAAATCAGAGCCTCTGTTTCAACCTTTCCCTGCCCCCTGCCCTGTGGCATGGCCAAGACAGATTTATCAAGCAATCGCAGAGAATCCCTCCCAGTGCTACACGGGCCCCTCATCCCAGGCGAGGTCCAAGCTTCTGGCGCTCCCTTAGTCTCACCCACAGGCAGAACTCAGGCGTTCCAGACTGGGCCCTGCTGGGGCTCCAGAAGATCCATGTTGGCAGCTAGACACATTGACACATGAGCCCTACGATGTCCAGTCGCTTCCAGGTCCATGGCTTGTCTTGCTAAAGGCAGAGCATGTCCGGGTGTGGGCAGAATTGGGGCTACAGGCCTTGGGAGTGTCCCTGCCTCGTGAGTGGCACCTGCTCCTCTTCAGTGTGTACATGTGGCTTTAAGTCCTTCAAATTAAGAGATAAATATAAATACACACATGTACTTTTTGTTCTGCTTGTAAAAGTAATCATTTTCACTGTAAATTTTTCAAACAGTACATAAATACGATATGTCCTTTTCCAGTTTGTTGAGAATTTTTTTATGAATCACACACACATATCTATGTATATGTGTATATGGAAAATATTTTAAACAAAATGGTAGAAAATATGTTTCCAAATTGCCTTTTTCAGTTAATATTATATTTTGTTGTTGTATTTGATACTGAGGATCGAACCCTGGGGCACTTAATCACTGAGCCACATCCCCAGCCCTTTTCTTTCTTTCTTTTTAAAATATTTTTTAGGTCTCAATGGACCTTTGTTTTATTTATTTATATGTGGTGTTGAGAATCAAACCCAGTGCCTCACACATTCTAGGCAAGTGCTCTACCACTGAGCCACAACCCTACAACCCAGCCCTCCTCAGCCCTTTTCTGTATTTTCTTTAGAGACAGGATCTTGCTAAGATGCCGAGGCTGGCTTTGAACTCGTGATTCTCTTGCCTCAGGCTTCCAAACCCCTGGGATTGCAGGCGTGTGCCACTGCACCCAGTTAATACTATAGTACTATGTTTTGGACATTTAAATAACGCCAATACCTGGGCTGGAGATGTAGCTCAGTGGTAGAGCACTTGCCTAGCAGGCATGAGGCTGGGATTCCATCCCAGACACTACAAAATAAAAAAATAAGAGTCAACTCGTACAAATAGCCTTGTTTCTTTCATTCATTCATGTGTTCCTTCATTCCTTTATTCTGGTGTTTTGGCTTGAACCCAGGACTCATGCGTGCTAAGCACGTGCTTTGCCACTGAGCTCCAGCCCCCACCTCATTTCTTGTAAAGGCTTCATAATAACGAGGCTCTAACTTGACTATTCAGCTGGCCTGTGATGGATACCTCGGTGGTTTCCGGTTTTCACACCTTAAGTGATAGCACAGTGAGTGTCCCTGCACCTGATCTCTGCACTTGTGAAGGATCTGTGGGATGAATCCCAGGGAAGTGGGGTTGCTGGGTGCAAGGTGAGAAGGTTTTTCATTTGAATAGATATTTCCCTATTGTCACCTAGACAGCCACTACTGCCATCAGAGGATTTCGTCCCTTTTTTGAGCTCTTTAGGCCTGGTCATCACCTTCGTGAGCATGTCTCCAACACATGGGGGTGGGTGGCTGGATGGGCCCCTACATAGTCCCAGGCATCTCTGCTCACCCACTCCCATTGCTGAAATGCTGTGGCTCTTGGTGGCGGGGTGGGAGGCTGCAGCAGAATCCAACTTAGGCTTCTGGAGCTTCTGCAGGTGGGGCCAGAGAGGATACCGATGCTTCACTCTCTTACCTTTCTTGTTAGTCTTCCATTTCTAAGGGCCCCTTATACAGTAAGAGGCCATAGACCTGTGTGGAATCAAGCAACTTATTACTGTGGGATCTTAGGCAATCACTCTGGCTTTCTGAGCTCTGGTTTCATTATCTGTAAGTAGAGATAATAGCGGTGCTTGCTGTCCAGATACAGTGGAGATCAGACACTGTAAAGTTTTAGTGCCTATCTGACAATTTTATCCCAAGTTTTTTGGGCCCCGTTTCATTGTCATTGTTTCTGTTGGTTTTCAGTCATGGGGTCATATTCACTTGTATGCCTAGTTTGTTTGTTTGTTTGTTTGTTTTGTGTGTGTATGTGTTTATTTTATTTTATTTTATTTTTATTTTTATTATTATTTTTGCTATGTGTTGGAAATTGTATTTTTTGGGGGAATACCAGGGATTGAACTCAGGGGCATTTGACTACTGAGCCACATCCCCAGCTCTATTTTGTATTTTATTTAGAGTTTGGGTCTCACTCAGTTGCTTAACACCTCGCTTTTTTGCTGAGGCTGGCTTTGAGTTCACAATCCCCTTGTCTCAGCCTTCCAAGCTGCTGGGATTATAGGCATGAGCCACCACACCTGGCTGGATATTGTATTTTAATAATTACTTGCTGGAAAATTTTGAGGCCTGGGAGGATAGATTTTTATATGCTTCTGCAATAGACTAGGATGACCTAAATCCAAATTTAACAACTGTGGTTCCATGAACTTTGAGCTTTATAGGCCTATCTAAAGGAACCATAGGCCTATCTAAAGGAAAAATCCGTCAGGGTATAGGTGGCCATACCTGTAATCCTAGTGACTAGGGAGACTGAGGCAGGAGGGCCACCAGTTCAAGGTCAGCCTTACCAACTCAGAAAGAGCCTATCTCCAAATTAAAAATAAATAAATAGAGATTAAAAGGGCTGGGGATGGGCTGGGCGCTGTGGCACATGCCTGTAATCCCAGTGTCTCAGAGGACTGAAGCATAAGGGTCACCAGTTCAAAGCCAGCCTCGACAATTTAGCAAGGGTGCTAAGCAACTCAGTGAGACCCTGTCTCTAAATAAAATACAAAATAGGGCGGGGACGTGGCTCAGTAGTCCAGTGCCCCTGAGTTCAATCCCCAGTACCCTCAACATAAGGTCCTTGCTTAGCATCTGGAGGGCCATCTTAAGTGACAGCAGCCATTTTAAGGAAAAAATTTCACTTTCCCACCCAAGGAAGGGCCTTTCTGAGAAAGGCTCACCATTCCCTCATACCAACCCCCAACCCCTAACTGTCCTCATCAGGACCCGCTCGGCTCTGATTCCTGAGCCTGCCCCATAGAAGTCCCGGCACCCAAGCCTTTTGGCCTCTCTCTTTATTTGTCAGCTCTGACAGACTCTCCTGGGTATCTCTGCCTGGTCTCCCGTTCCTGGCTTTCCCTTCACCCCTCCCCCCCAAAACAGGGCTGGGGATGTAGCTTAGTGGAAGAATGGCCCTGGGTTCAGTCCCCAGTATGGGGAGTGGGGGACAATAAAGCTAATTTCCCAACTTTCTTCAGAATAAACACCTTGAAGGCGGAAGCATCGGGCTTTATCTCCCTGAGCCGGGTTGGCTGGTTTCTCTTTTTCTCTTGGAGATTAAACCCAGGGTCTCTGGCTTGCTGGGAGAGTTGATCTATTTTTTTTTTAATATTTATTTTTTTAGTTTTAGGTAGACACAGTATCTTTATTTTTATTTATTTGTTTATTTATTTTAATTTGTTTTAATTAGTTATACATGACAGTAAAATGACTTTGATATATCATTCATTTGAATCAGATGGGATATAATTTCTCATTTTCTGAGTGTACAGGTTGCAGAATCTCTTTATTTTACATTTATGTGGCGTTGAGGATCAAACCCAGTGCCTCACGCATGCTAGGCGAGCACGCTACCACTGAGCCACAACCCCAGCCCAGAGTTGATATTTTTAATATTTAATAAAAAAACTTTTTTCCACTCAGCATTTTGGTTGTCCCAAGTGGGAAGAGGGTCTGAGTCACTTAATCCATCGTCATGGGAAGTGCAGGCCTCACTGAATGGTCACCTGTTTGAAGCGTTTAGCCCAGTTCCTCCCATGGTTGGTGATACATCCAAACCTTCAGGAGAAGAAACTAAAGTTCCTAACTTATGACAAGACAGAAGAGAGGCTTTCTGTGACCAACCAACCCAGAGCCACAGCAGGGTCATAAAGCCTCTGTGCCCACTTAGTCCTCCCCACGTCTCTAAGCTCCCACCCATAATTACTTCTGTGATAGCAGCTTTGAAAATCTCAGTCGGGACAGCGACGCAAGATGGCAGCCACCACGGGCTCGGACAATTTATGAAAACCGAATATACAGCCTTAAAATAGAATGTGGACCTAAATACCCAGAAGCACCCCCCTTTGTAAGATTTGTAACAAAAATTAATATGAATGGAGTTAATAGTTCTAATGGAGTGGTGGACCCAAGAGCCATATCAGTGCTAGCAAAGTGGCAGAATTCATATAGCATCAAAGTTGTTCTGCAAGAGCTGCAGCGCTTAATGCTGTCTAAAGAGAATATGAAACTCCCCCAACCTCCAGAAGGACAGTGTTACAGCAATTAATCAAAAGCAACGCCACCAGCCCTCCCCCCAGTCTTCATTCTCCACCCTAGTAAATTTTCTAGATGCGTCTTGTAGACCTCAAAATACTGGAAAGGAAGCTCCCATTTGAAGGCAATTTATCTTAAGATACTGTAAATGATACTAATTTCTTGTCCATTTGAAATATATAAGTCGTGCTATAACAAATCAAAAAAAAAAAAAAAAAAGAAAATCTCAGTCGGAGCTGGGCATGAGGGAGCATGCCTGTAATGCTGGCTGCTTTGGAGGCAGGAGGATCACAACTCAAGGACAGCCTGGACATTTAATGAGACCCTCTCTCAAAAGAAAAACAAAAAGGCTTAGGGATGAGGCTGAGTGGCACAGCACCCCCGAGTCCAATCCGAGACCACATCCCTTCTCCGTTCACTCCAAATAAAGGTCAAAGTCCTCACTGGCCCTGGTGCCCTCACCTCTAACTGAATTTTGTCCTTGCATATTCTGCTACAGTCACTTGGGCCTCCTGTTTCCTCTCTTTTATTGATCGATTGATTGATTGTGGGTACCAGGGATTAAACTCAGGGGCACTCGACCACTGAGCCACATCCCCAGCCCTATTTTGTATTTAATTAAAAAATATATATATATATATATAAAATATATTATAATATTTTATATATATATATATATATATATATTTTTTTTTAATTTGTAGCTGGACCCAATACTCTCTCTTCATTTGTGCCACAGTCTGGCTGGGCACAAAATAACCGAGCCGCCACAAAGCCTTGTAGGTTCAAACAGCAACTCTTTATTCCCCGAACTCTCACCGGCACTCTACACACACTTCCCGGGAACACACTCCCTCCACCGGGCTCCGTGCGCCAATTCTCTCGGAACCCCACGAGAACTCAACGGGAACTCCAAAGTAGCGGGTGCCCGAGGCAGCAGGATCCGCCCTAATCCCGGAGCCGCCCTATTCCAGGGTCACCTTCCAACCATTCCCTCTAGCAAAATGCCAGGCGTCATTCCGACTAAACTGTGGCTCTCAACACATTTATTTATATGTGGTGCTGGGGTTTGAACCCAAGGCCTCGCACATGCTAGGCGAGGGCTCTACCACTGAGCCACAGCCCCCTATTTTGTATTTTATTTAGAAACAGGGTCTTAGCGCCTTGCCTTTGCTGAGGCTGGCTTTGAATTCATGAGCCTCCTGCCTCAGCCTCCTGAGCTGCTGGGATTACGGGCATGTGCCACAGTGCTGGCTCTTATTTTATTTTTTGTATGTTTCCTTCTTTAGGGTGACCAAAACTCACCCTGGTTTTCTAACTGAAATCCTGTGTTCTGGAACTCCTATTGGTCCAGGGCAGACTGCAACAGTCGGTCATCTTCATTCAAACACAACATACAGCTCTGCCTCGGGGCCTTTGCACACGCTGATTTTGCAGCTTGCGGTGCTTATCCCAGATATATGCCTGGCTGGCTCCCTCATGTCATTCCAGGCTCTGCCAAAGTCACCTCTCTCAGAGAAGCAATATCTAGAATAATGTGCAAGCACACGTGCACACAAAGACCCATTCTGTCCCTCTAACCCCTTTATATCCCTTGAGGTATATAAATGAACAGGACCCAGGCAGAACCTCTCAGAGTCTGGCCTGAGGCCGTGGGGGCCGCCTGCATTGCAATGCCAAGACCGGCTGAGGCCCAGCAGCTGCCTTGCCCAGAAACTGCCTCCACAGGCTGTACCTGTGTCCTGGGCTTGAGGCAAGGAGGGGCCCTTGACTTCTGTGGGCCGACAGGAAGACAAGGCCTATCTGAGATCCTGGGTCTCTCCTGGGCAGATCTGGGGGACAGCGAGGACAGTTTCCAACCAGCAGGGCCAGTGCACCAGCAGTGAGGATGTTTGAAATCCCAGCTGGCCTAAGTCTGGACAGTCTCTTCCCTGCTTGGGAGCCTGGCTCAGAAGCCTTTGTTCCTTGGACGGCTTGGCCTCCCGAGGCCCAGGCTCTCAGTCTGTCTGGCCAGGTTTGAAAGTCTGCATGGGCTGGGGATGTGGCTCAAGCGGTAGCGTGCTCACCTGGCATGCGTGCGGCCCGGGTTCGATCCTCAGCACCACATACCAACAAAGATGTTGTGTCCGCCGAAAACTAAAAATTCTCTCTCTCTCTCTTTTAAAAAAAAAAGAAAGTCTGCGTGGCTGGAAGCTGGCAGCGAGCCTGGGACATGGCCCTCCTGGGGAGCAGGCCCCACTCTCCTCCTCTCCTCCACCCCAAGCTGAGGGCTCTCTGGTGCCCAAGGATTTCTCCCCAGTGCTGGGTCTTCGATCTTCCAGGGGAAGCGGCCAGACCGGGCCAGGCCAGTGTCCAGGCCCGCGAGATGCCCTCTGGCCAGAGTCCTCCCTGGAGGTCACAGGAGCCCTGCTACCTTCACCCACAAGGGTGGGGCAGAGCCCAGTTGGACCGAGCCTTGAGGAACCTGAAGGTCAGCCCAGCAAGAGACATTAACTGTGAACAGATTCAAGTTCAAATCAACAAGCATCAGCTCCAGGCCAGACTGGTCCCCGGCCCCACTTTCAGGAGAGCAGGAAGCCAGCTGCGTTCCTGGGGCTCCTGCACCAGATGGAGCAAGCACAACCCTCTTCACCATCATCTGGAGTAGATCAGACCCCAAGGACTTCCTGGGACTGGTGGGAGGAGCCATCGCCTCCACTCAGGGGCCCTCTATCACTAAGCCACATCCCCAAATCTTTTATATATATATATATATATATATATATTTCTTTTTTTTTTAAGTTGTCAATAGGGGCTGGGGATGTGGCTCAAGCGGTAGCGCGCTCACCTGGCGTGCATGCAGCCCGGGTTCCATCCTCAGCACCACATACAAAGATGTTGTGTCTGCCGAAAACTAAAAAATAAATATTAAAAAATTCTCTCTCTCTCTCTCTCTCTCTTTAAAAAAAATAAGTTGTCAATGGACCTTTTTTTAAATTTATTTATATGCAGTTCTAAGAATCTAACCCAGTGGTTCACATATGCCAGGCAAGTGCTCTACCACTGAGCTACAACCCCAGCCCACCCAAACCTTTTTTTATTTTTTATTTTAAAATAGCATCTTGTTAAGTTGCAGAGACTGGCCTCAAGCTTGTGATCCTCTTGTCTCGGCCTCCTGAACAGCTAGGATTGCTGGTGTGCGCCACCACACCTGGCTAGGAGCAGGTTTTAAACCAAAGCTGAGATGTTTTCAGATTTGCATTCTGACCTTGCTGTGATTATTGTCTGTTGTCCTTGGAGCCTCCACCATGTGTGTCCTTGAGTGTAAAGGTCGCCCTTCTGTATTAAACCACTCAATTCCCAGCATCACTCTGAGGTGGCCTTGTGAGTACCTCTACTGTACAGATAAGGAAACTGAGGCCCAGGGAGGTTAAGCAACTTGCCCAAGGGGGTGTAGCCAAGGGAGGTGGGGTTTGAGCCCAGGTGATCTGCCTGGTTCTGGAGTGGACAAGAGTGAGGCTAGGGTAGTGGTAGCCTGAACCTGGGCCAGGGCAGGCCAGCAGCTGGAGTGGAACTATTCTGGAAGCACAGTCAGCCTGCCCCAGGCTACACCTGTCCCCAGGCTACACCTGTCCCCAGGCTGCAGTGGGTGGATGGGTGGGTGACAATGGTCAGGCCAGCCCTGGACAGTGACTGCCTGCCTGCCCTACTGCCTCTGGGGAGACTCCTGGTCTGAGGGGTCTGTTGTACAGCTGCCCAACCCCCATGCCCAGTCAGGTGGTCAGGAGGGGTCCAACTTCCTTGAAGCCCTTGGCCAGTGGACTCAAAGGCCAGGAAGTTTCTTGAAGCCTGAAGTGTCCCCAGAGTCCAAGGCAGGGGTGCACCCAGGGAAGGGAGGAGCCACCTGAGCCTCTGAGGCCTCCAGGATCAGGGAAGTGAGCAGGGAGGGGCAGGAAGGTGCCGCAGTCTGGCTGGGCACAAATGCCGCAGTCTGGCTGGGCACACAATCACGAGCCACCACACAGCTTGTAGATTCAAACAGCAACTCTTTATTCCCGAACTCACACCAGCCGTCTACAATCACGTTCTGGGGAAATCCAACGTTCTCTGCCCAAATCCACGTTCTCTGCCCAAATCCACGTTCTCTGCCCAAATCCACCTCCACTGGGCTTCTGTCTCCCAAAATATACTGTCTGAATCCCGTGAGAACTCAAGGGGAACTCAGGCAGCAGGATACGCCCTATTCCCAGCAGGAATAATCTTAAACCTTAAACCTGGAACCTAAACTGGGAACGCCCTAAACACGATTATCTTAAAACCGGGAACACCCTAATCTGCCTTGGTCCTTGAGCAAGGTCACTTACATTCAATGTCACTGCAACATGTCAGCAACATGGGGTACGCTGGCAAGGAAATTGTCATACCTACTTGGCTAATGGCTCCCAGCAGGAAGGGCCATTGGCTGAGCCTGGGGTGGACCCTGCAGCTCTGTAGACCTCCAGCCACTGAGGTAAATTGGATGGGCCACCCACTGTGTGGTCCCAGCTCAGTTTCCTCCTCTGTAAAATGGGGACAGTCCTGAGACACCTGACCGGGCAATGAGAAACGAGGCCCCCACCTGGAGCAGAGGAAGCCTGAGGATCTGAGAGGGGGGCCTCATTCCTGCACTGCCCAGATACCTCTGCCACCACAAGCTGCCTAACTGCAGTGCCCTGTCACCCCCTCCAGCTGACCTGCGCAGTCTCTAGGTCCCTCTGAGCCTCAGCTTCCTGGTCTATGGGATGGGGTGATAGGCTCCCAACTAAAGGAACATTAGGCAAGTTAAAGGAGATGCCACTCAAAGGCTTTTGTTCCAAGGACTGATTTGGCAAATATAGTATCCCTGGCATGTGCCCAGCTAGGAGTCAAGAAAGAGGACAGGGACAGGGGTTGTGGCTCAGTGGAAGAGCACTTGCCTCGTGTGTGTGAGGCACTGGGTTCGATCCTCAGCACCACATAAAAATAAAAAAATAAAGGTATTGTGTCCAACTACAACTCAAAAAATATTTT